CTCCGTCCCCGGCCGGCTTGTTTGTCCCTGGCGCCCGTGCCGGCGGCGGCCCCGCCAGCTCCGACTTTAAAGGCTTCACTCTGCTGATGGTAAGTCGTGCTTCTGCTTCCACCCTGCCCTTGGTGGGCTTGAGGGGGCGCTGACCCAACGGGGCGCCCCCGGGCCCGCCGCCTCTCGGGGGCCTGGGCGCTGAGGGCTTCTCTCCCTTCTGGGGGGTTAGGGCAGGGGCTTGTCTCCCTGGCTCGCCTGTGGGGCAGGAGGGCCGGGGCGCTTTGGTTTCTCTCTCCCCTGCCCGGGGGTCGTCCCTGGGTGCTCGACGGCGGGAAAGCGGAGAGGCGCTGGGCAGGCGGTTGCTGTGCCCGGCTGCGTAGCGGGTGTTTTGCCGAGTAAAAGAGGGGGATTTGCAGGGGTCCTTCCCAGAGCCGTTTCCAGCAGAGCTTAAGGCGGTCTCTTCCGTTTCCGTCAGTTTCTCCCTCCTCGGCCCCCCCCCCTTCTGCTCTTGTCAAGCTAAGCGTTGTGTGCTGAGCTATAGCTATATGCTTGCACTCTAAGATTACGATGCCGTATGTCGTCTTACAAAATTTGCAGTATCTGTGGGTTGGCACGGGAATAAAAGGTTATTTTTTTTTCCTTTCGATGCGATATATGCATGTTTTTAATGGAAAATTCTTCATTTGTGCTATATTTAAACTCAGATTAGGATTGGTTTAGGAAGTGTTTTAATCATCCTCATACATGGCATGAAATCGATTTCAGATAACCTACCTGAGGCTCCATTGGTTATTGCGGGGTAAGAGTTCCAGTGCAGGCTGCGAAGTAGCAAACCATTATTTTTTCCTACTAGTGACTCCCTTTGCTGCATTACTGAAAGGTAACCTTATCCCCTTTCATCGAGGGCTGCACAGCCTGGGATGACTCTGCAGGCTGCGCGGGAAGTCATTGCGGATCAGCTGACTAGCCGCAGGAAGCAGATCACTGCTGTTTTCTTTCGCTGGCAGTAACAGGCTATTGAATACCAGCCGGTTTGTAATGACAGTCTGTAAGTGCCCTTGAGTCCTCTTTCACCGTGGGCTTATCAGCATCAAATTCCGTGTTTCCACAATTGTTGGCAGCAGCAATTCGTAGATACGGACTTGCTTATAAATTAAAGGCAACCAACCGAAAATTTTACCATTGTGTCCTTCTACAGAAACTGATACTGGAAGGCAAACTCTTGAATTTCTCTTTCTGTGCCATCAGATTAGGCCAGTGTCTGCCCCGATTGGTGATAACCCACGGCAATTCCTATGAAATTAATCCAAGATGACCCTTGGCATTTCCATCCTTAAAAGATGAAAAACAATTTGCTCTTGTACACGAGTCAAGCTGAGATTTATAGTTTTAAAATGTAATATCAACATTACCATTAGGTGTCGCTTGAGGCCTGCCAATCTCGACATTAGTTTGAGTGACTTTTATCTACTCTGTATCCAAAAAAAGAGAGGGAGGAGACAAGTTTCAAAGCCTTTGTTTAAGTTTACAATGAGACAGGATTATTCACAGAAGTGGCCAGGATGTTCTTGTGGGACAGGGATCAATGTCTGCATCAGTAATCTGTTAAGATTAAGAAATAGTCACCTTTGTCAGAGAATGAGTAGCCGCTTTTAGAAATCATGTTTGACCAGAACTGAAGTTATTTAAACTTTCACTATTTGAAGAGCATATTGTATTGTCCATAAAAGACACTGTAAATCAGTTACTTCTGTTACTTCAGCCAGCAGTGTCAGTGGGAAATGTTGGTCAACTGGCAACAGATCTAGTGATTTCCACACTCGACATGACTAAAGTTGGTTACTTCTACACTGATTGCCTGGTGCCAATGGTTGGAAATAATCCATATGCAACAGCAGAAGAAAACTCGATGGAGCTGAGTATAAATGCTGAAGGTGGGTATTGAATGCTGAAGATATTTGCAAGCTGCATAAGGTGCAAGTATGTTACATTAACTTTTGTTGTTGTTGTTACATTTTGCTTATGTGAACAATGTTTAAACTAAGGTCAGTAATAACAACTTAAGTAACTTACAGGTAAGCCTGTATTTACACTTCACAGAGGAAACCGTTACTGTTTTTGTTTTGGAAAACCAATTTGATATATGGAATGAATAAGAAATGTTGAATTTCAACTATATTACAGTACAGCCAAAACTCTGCAGTTTTAATCCAAAGCAATGTGAAGTGTGCACATACTTACAGTAAACTGCTGGAATGCAAGTTGAATTTATGGTGTAGAAGGGTATTTATCCTCTCTTCTTCCTTCCCACCTATGTTTGCCTTTTTCCTTATGTGGTGTTTCTCCCTCTTCCTCCTTCAAATTCTTTGTTTCTTTCCCTTGAGAAGTGTTACATTTCATCTTTTTTTTTTTTTTTTCCCCTCTTAAATCATGGAAATCTCAGAATAATCTGTCAATCTTTGCAAAGGTGCATGAAGAGATTATCTGAATCGTTACAGGAGGCAGATCTTCATATGTTTTTCTTCATTCAATCCTTTGAATTTATGACAAGTGAAATTAAGTCCATTGCACAAAAATGCATATTTTTAACACTCTGGATATTGCCAGGCTTTCCCGTGTGAACTGATAGCTGAAAGGTTTACTATCCTGAGGTTTGTAAATTGGATAAATCTGGATACTTCTAAACCCAGATCTCTTTCTTGCTTTCCTCTTACAAAACTTAATTATTTCTTCTTGTAGTGTATTCGTTACCTTCAAAGAAACTTGTAGCTCTGCAGATCAGATCACCTTTTATAAAGGTATGTATGTTCATTGATTGTTTTTACTTCACTATTCAGTTTGAATAGTTCTGCTGGCAAATAATTTAAGTGGCCTGGGTAAATTTTAAAACTAAATAAGCAAAACTGGAAGAACTATGCCATGTTATAAAATATTTTGTGTCAACAAAAAAAAAAACCAAAACAAAACAAAAAACAGACTGTAAAAGAGCAAAATATTTTTCTGCCTTGTGCTATAACATGTTCTGCAGTTGATACAATTTTAGCTAACAAAAACTGACTGCTGCATTCATTGAGGGTTGAGGTTTTGTTTTGTTTTTCAAAGCCTCAGAACAACCCACCTATGTTGGTCATTTTAGTGTAAATATGTCCTTAGTTATTAACGGCCTTGAAAACACAAAATGTTTTGTCCGTTTCTTTTTTTTTCTTTACACTTACCGTCTTTGTGTGTTTGTCTTTTATTGTAATAGCTTAATTTTTGATGTCACTCCAATTTAATTATTTCATAGTGTTCTACATTCATTTCAAGTGCATTCATTATGTAAAAAAATGAAGAATTTAGAGTTATTCATTAACTGGACAGTGGCTGTAATTTAAAATAAGCAGAATACCACACCAGAAAAAAATTTGTGCTGCAGTTTTTAGCAGTTCAAAGTGTGGAAAAATACTGTGTGATCCTATCATCCCATCTTATTCTAAAGCTTTTTCTATTGGTATTCATGGCACACAAAGCAGGTGGTACTACTGTTGTTAACATGGTCTTAATGATAATTTTTAGCATTATACGTGTAGTTTTGATTAAGTAAACAACCAGAGCAGTCCTCTGTTTTTTAAAAATATATCTGAAGCTGAAGACTAAATGGATATGAAGAAAAATGTGCATCACTGGTAAACGTTCTATGTAACACCTAGTATTGGTGGGTTTTGGCTTTTTTTTTAAGGACGCAATATATTTTTCACTTTTTTTTTCCTCTGTCTTTGCATAAAGAACAAGTACAGGCCATTCTGTCAAACACTGCTTTCTTGGGTGAAAAGCAGCAAGTGTGCCAGAGTCGTTCTTCTGTCTAGCAGCCATGCATACCAGCGTGATGATGAGCAACTTCTTGGGTATGTTTGCGTCATTAAAAGACCTAATTAATGTTTCTGTTCTTTTTGACAAACTGACATATATCCCTCTGCTGAGTACTTTTTGTAGGATTCTTTTGCTTTGCTGTGTACATAGGTCATAAAATGTTTTAATAGTATAGTAAGCATTATGTTATACAGGATTAGTCTCTGAACATTGTTAGTTACTACTGTCGAAAGTGCTGAGCAAATAATAAGCTGTAAGTAAATTGCACTTGGCCTGCACTGCCAGCAACAGAGCCTCAGTTTTAACTTCTTAATTATGGCTGCAAGCAATGTCAGCAATTAGCTGCTAGCATACAGGTCACAGATTAGATGGTTAACAGTTAAATAGAATATTGGTTAGTTTCTTATCTCTTCTTTGTTATTCTGCATTTTGAAGATTTTTCCTTAATATAGTAAGTTGTTATTCTTTTTTTATAGGAAGTTATCAATTCTTGTTTGTTGGGAGGCAACTGCAAGGTTCAGACTATGTGTATTTTTATTAGATATTACCCCTTTAAAAAACAAGCATTGCTGGTGGATTGGGAACATCATAATCAGTGATTTAACAAAAACAAACAAACAAAATCAGTATTTTTGCAAAAGACCAATTGTTATCCTCAGGCTGTATAAATGTGTAGGGCCTTAAAGAAGGTTCAGGTGCACGCACGTCCTAGATATAGTTACCAGTGGTGTTTGCATACAGTTGCAGAATGGCCAGCTAACGTGGAATGAAATGAGAGGGACTGATGGTTATTTGATGAGGTCTGAGTTGTAAGTTGTGGTGGTTTAACACCCCCTCCTCCCCCAGCACCACGGAGTAACTCTCTGAGAGCAGAGTCACTAAAGAGTGAGGGTAGCGCATTCAGAAAATACTTAGACTTGACTGAAGTCTGCAGGTATTTGTAGTGTGAGCTTATTAAAAATACTATATCACAGTGAAGTCCAGGTTTACTGTAACTAACTTTAATTTAATTGCCTCCTATCTGAAGGAAGAAAAAGCGCATTTTATTTGTAAATCATTTTAAGAACTGTAAGCAGTTCTTCTGTTTATGTGCTTATGTATCTGGTACTTGCCAGTTATTTGAGCCTCTAAAAAGAGGGTACCTTAGTTCTGTTTGTGGCAGAAAGTTGAGTAGTTTGTACTGCTTTGAAGCCACAGTCTGCTTTTAAACTTCAATTTGAGGAGGAAGTAAATGTCAGTGCAATTCTTCATTGCAAGTGTGAGGTCCTCAATGCTTGCAGCTTCTTTCTGTCACAAGTAATAACATTGGTAGTGTCTTTTGTTGTCAGACTGAATGTATTCTTGATTTGTTCCTAGGACACCACTACGCTACCTACTTACACCTGATCTTGAGAAAGCAGTTGGAGGCCTTATGCAGGAGCTAAACTGGAAAGAAATGGAAAAAGTAGCAGCTTACCCTGGAATAAATGATACGGAAAAAGTTCTACATATTCCTGGAGGTGGCATCACAAAGCTATTGTTTACGGAGAGGTGAGCTGCCTAAAGATAAGCACAGAAAGATATCAGAAGTCTTGTTTTTAGTACATGGGTAATGTTATCTTTCAAACCACTATGTTATAGGAAAAGAGAAGTCTCTCTTTTCATAGAAAAGGGTTTTACAGGAACAGAACTTCTTCCAGATCAAGCTCATAATTAAGAGGAAAAAAAATAGGAAATTCTGCACCATAAAGTTAAAATATGATAAAACTGTAAGTGTATGGGCTAAAGAAAAATAATAAAAGCTTTACAGTTAAGATCGTGATTAATCTGATATCTGATTTTATGCAAACCACAATTTGTAAACAGTAACTTTTCTGTACCTGTGATACTTAACACTGTCTCCTGTGGCAAATAGTTCCATCATCAGTTGTAAAAAAAGAAAAAAAATTCTGAGCACTAAGAATGAGTTAAGATTTCAGGGCCAGCGATTAGGTGTGGGGTTTTTGTTAAAAGGTGTGTGCATCAGAAGTTGTGCCAAAAGCACGTCTGAGCTTCAAATTTTGGGTCGTAATACTCGCTCATTATGGTAAAACTGTGTTAGCTCTGCAAAAGGTGTTTGTTTTGTGTCAGGTGGAAAATTCACTTTTATTTTTTTAGCTATTGTTTTTGGCACCTGTCCGAACTGTTGCATCCAACAGCAGGAGAGTAACTAATATCACGCTTACCTTTGTACTGAATTCAGTATGGAAGCAATATACAAATGCAAAAGAAAGACCTCCCAGGACTTTAGAAACAAAAAATATAATAACAATTTAATATCTAAATGAAAAAATGGGAATATTGTGAGTAAAGTAGTGATATGCAAACTGCAGAACTGCGCCTTGAAATACACAGAAAGATAAGGAGTGATTGTATCAAAGGATCTGTATAAATGCCCCACCAGCACAAAAATGCAACCTAAGTATATAAAACAGGCCCGGAGTAACTCTTCCATGACCTAGGATTCCCGCCTCAAAAAGCAAAGAATAAATTCAAGACTAATAAAAAAAGAACATGAAGTGTGAAAATGCAACCAAGCCTGGAGAGGGGAAAAAAAAATCTCTCTGTGCACACATTTTTACTTTTTGTTTGGTTTTGTTTGTTTTTTTAACAAGCTACATGCAGATTGTTGTTGGTCTTAATACGTAACTATAATTGTTCTGGATTTAGAAAAGAAATACAAATACCTGCTCATTTTTGTTGCAGCTGTTCAAAAGGAATCCAAATGGCAGTTCTCCTGAAATTCTGCTCAGAAGGGGACAACATCCCTGATGCGTTTGCTCTTGTTAACTATCTTAATGAATGGCTCCAGCTAATTAAAAGCGACGTAAGTGATGTTTCATCTGGAGTTGTTGCTTTCATAATTTGTATCTGTTATTTTCATTTTTCTTCGCTCCAGAGCATTGAAAAGGTTACTCGGCTGAATTATAGAAAATTTAAAAAAATCTGTGGATTGGGTTTGTTTTGGCCCTTGGTCATCAAGGATATGGCAAATTAAAGATTATTTTGCTTAAAACCTCGCTGGGAATTTCCCCACCTGAAAAACCAAACGTAAACCCCAGTCCCTTTGTTTGACAGGTGTGGGGGAAAATTGCGTAAAGGTTTGATCAAGTTCAATCTTCCAGTACTTTTCTCTAAAGCAACCCCCGATGATACTGACACTTGAAATGCTGCCCATTATTTTAATACATGTGTCAGAGAGAGAATTACATCATTATTATTTAAAACGTAAAGAATGATTCTGTTTTTGTTGCAGGGCAACAATTCCACAGATACTTCTTCACAATGGAAAATACCAAGTTCTTGGCGCTTACTTTTTGGCAACGGTCTTCCACCTGCGCTCTTCTGATCAATTTTGAATTCTTCTGTAAGTCATGTGTGCAGTCTCAAACATCCCCTGAGAAGGTGATTACATAGTAATTGCCAAGCAACAGCAGCTTAATTTGTTGTGTACATAAATTCTTTATTTAAGAAAAATTCCTTTCACATATGTGGGTAGCTAAAGAAATTAAGGTAACGTTTCCAAATTGACCAAAGAAATAAGTTTTGTACAGTTGTTTATTGAATAACTTTGAATTTTTTTCTAATAAAATATTTTTTAAAAAACCTTTTTCTTTGGTTAAGTGTTATTGCTATGGGAAAGCTTATGGTGCACCTTCTTAATGTAGCTGAGAACGTGAGATTGATGTGCAGGCATAGATTTTCTTATGAAGCTAAAATCCCGCTTTTCCATGTCAACTGTGGATCTTGGCTCTTTTTCAAAACCTTCCTGGTGATGTAAGCAAAGCTCGGAAGTGACTAGTTCTGCCTTTTCCCAGTGCTGGTTCTGTAGCTTCAGCTGGGGAGACTGCAAGCGATAGCGCAGCCCGCTCTCTCTCTTCTGGTCGCCTTCTGTTGTATAATTTCCATTCTGCTTCCAAGGGCTGCAGAGGTGCTAAAACTGAAGCCTTCTAGGTAGGTGAGCCTTCTTAGACTGACTTGAGGATGAATACAGTGCTCTGAAATATGAAGGAATTAAAACGTTGCCCTGCTAGCAGGCAGTCTGGTATCTATATTTTACAAGCTTTGTCTGAGACACTGGTTGTGTGATAATTCATGTGTTTGATGTTTGTAATGGTACTTGTTGCGTTATTAAGCTACATGTTCAATTTTGATCTTTTGGAAGTGCCTGATCACATCAGCGTATTTAAAAGTAATTTTAAATCTATAATTTCTAAGTTATAGCTTATGAACTAATAGACATGACATCTATACAGGCTATACTTTTAAATATTTAGTCTGCTAAATAGATTTTTTTTTTTTTTTGGTGGTACTGTCGTGCCAGTAGGACAAATGATGAGGAAAGGAACAGCAGCAGTCCTGAAGAGGTCTGTTAAAGGTGTAGGCATAAGATTCAGTAGTCGGCTTTGCTTGAAAACTTGTGCCTGTTGGTAAAGAGCAGCAGTTCAGTCGAACTACTCGGCGAATATTGCATCCCAAAGGATGCAACATTGTTCATCTTTTTGGGTTTTTGAAAGTTTGAGAGGTGAGAATCATAGTGAATACCTGTCATGCAGGACTGCTACTTGAATGAATATTCAGTCACTGTTCTTCATCCACAAAACCATAAGAAACTGAAGTGTTTCCCAGTCTTAAGTCTGCTTTGCAGAAGTAAATAACGCAGAGCCAAACTGAACCTTGGAGAATGGGTATGTGGAGCAAATGCTTCATCTAATTGTATGTCCAAATACCTTCAAATAACGTCTTAAAATGTAGGCAGTCTCAAGTTAGATATTGTATTTGAGTCAGTCACAAACCTAGGTACGTGTAGAACAATGTGAGCACGAACTAACTGCTGCTGGTATTAGGAGAACTGGAGAAGCTTTATGGTTATTTAATTACATCTGCAGTGTTTGTTTGGGTTTTGGGGTTTTTTTAAAGGTTTGAATTGTGTTAACACCAATGCTTCTTAACACTAAATACCATGCTAGAAATGTAAAGTAATCCTTTGCTCATATTAATAAGCTTTTACAGTAGGAATGCAGGAAGATGCCACATTTCAGGAAGATGCCATGTTTTATGGTGTAAAAAATGAGCTGTGAATAGATTTAAAGTGTTCAGGAATGACTGATGTGCCCGTGATCGTGAATCAAAAGAAACTTACCTGAACAAAAAGCGACTTGCGTACAACTGGTATGCAAGCTACAACCAGAAGGTGAACCAAATAACATGGCTGAAAAGATCACAGCATTATTCTGAGTTTAAAGATTTATTTTGGTTCATGGTCTTGTCATTGTTTTACAAGAAGCTTGAGTTTCTATAGGCAAGGGGAAGGCTAAACCATTTGCAGCTTGCCTTCGTGTAGATCCCGTCATGGTGATATTTCATGCTTGCAAATACTCTTTATTCAAATCTTCCATTTGTAGAAAAGGACTAATGAGCTAAATATTTTCTGATGTCATTCTTCATTGTGATGGATTCTCAGATGCTCTGTGAATGTAATACATCACCTGTAACTGGACAGTAGTGAGCACAGAGGGATTTGGTAACTGCTACGAGAGCGTAATTTACGGCTGTACATTAGTTTGGAAAGCTGAATCTGCCAAGCTGGCTGAAAGCTTTTCCCTTGAACCAGGAAATACTTAGAGTATTTCTTAATTTTAAGCACAAAGTCCTGTGTAAATCACAAGAACGACTTGCTTGTTCTTATGCATTGCTGAATCTGGAACCAAGTATTCATTTTCCTTGATTAGAGTCCGACCTTCTAACAAATCAGATGTTGAAGCTGATCATGGTCCTGGTTTGGACTTTAGACCTGAAAGCCAGCAGGGTGCATCGGATTTACCAGTAAAATCTAGAAGCTGACCTTAGAACGAAGCTGTAGGAGATACTCAGTTCTCCCTTCCGCGCGCCGACGCCTCTGCGTGGCCTAATGACCATGTTTGGTTTGAGCTGGGGCTTTGCTGACGTACTGGAGAATAGGTCAAGCAAGAATGGCCTAGCAGTTTAAACATACTCATCTTAGAATGTAAACTCTGTCATTTTAGAAGAGTGGATGGGTGCGGGTAGGAAGAATACTTGGAACTGACAGCTGCTACGCAGAATGGTGGTTTTTAAAGGAGGGAGAAATTTAACTTGTGGAGCTCTCTTGGAATCACTGTGCAAACCAACGTGACGGAGATGGCTGTTTAAATCAGCTGTACCTTCTTGAAGCTTTCCTGAGATGAAAACGATTCTTCAGAAAGAAGGGGATGAACACCTGCCTCTGCGTTACCTTTGTGTAGGTCCTTCTACTAGGTGAGCACGGGAGCGTTCCTGCATTTGTGCAGGGCTCAGGTAAGTACAGCTGTAATGACTGTAAAGAATGAGCCCTGAAGGTACGTCTTCTCTTACACTGACTCGCAAGATACTGAACAGTGCCTATCAAAGAGCCAGCTCTTCAACCACGGCTTGCGTATTGCTTACACAGTGAGCACGGCTATTTGGAAGTAGTTACATACGCACTGGAGATGCTCCGTGAAGCTTTTCCAACTGTCATAGGATGTTGGGGGGGGGGGGGGGGAGGAAGGGATCAGCACCAGGCATAAGCTTTTTAAGTTTCTTAGGGGTTTTTTTTGTTGTGTTCTGTTTTTGTTTTTTTTTTTAAATAAGATGATTGTATAAGCTTTATTTAGCTGGCTCTAAGTACTTAGTTCCTTTGGGATCAAATTAACTGCTTCACTTGGGGCCATTCACGAGTGTCATTATTCTAACACCTGTGAACTTCAGCCATGCTGCAGTAAACTTACTATATATCTCTGCCATCTGCAGCCTGCTGTCCTAGATGATGCTCAGTACCGCACACAAGTTGTGGAGTACGCGTGTTGCGTTGTAAGGAGCTCGTTGGCGTAAAGCCTTGGTGTTTAAATAACTTCTGACACAAATAGCAAGCCCAAACAGGGTTTGCTGCCGCTGTTTGACGCAGGCTCGCACCTTTGTTCAAGATCCAGAATATATTGTGCAGATGTAAAAATATACAAGGTACTAAAAATACTTGAAATGCTGAAGTCAACTTCTGTGGTTTTTTGAATGACACGTTAAAAAAAATCTGAAGGGTAAAACCTTATTTGGGCAACAAGCAGTGTTGCTTTGGGCATCCACAGAAGGTTTATCAGGTAGGAGGAATTTGCGTTCGTTGGCTGTGTTAATCGGGATGCAGGCTGATGCATGCACAGCGCCATTTGGGAAGCTACAGCTCAGAAGGTATTTAACTGCGAAACTATATTAATCAAAATTGAAGCAGCTGTGACCCTAGATTAAATTTCAGTCAAAATTAGCGTGGTTGGGAACAAGGAGAAGCAGTGATAAAAAGCTAGAGGAGGAAAACCAAGGATTCCGAAGCAACAGCAAGGGAGTGCTTGACCATCAGGCCACAGCAAAGAAGCACTGAGAATTTTTCTGAGGCATGGGAGTTGTTTTTGCTTTCCTCCTTTTACTGATTGCAGATAAAGGTGCAATTTCTCATGGAAATACTGTCTCAAGTAGCTCAGACATCGTCATTTTTATTGTTGTCATTTTGGCTAAACCAGTACTTGTGTTACAAACAGCTTAGGAAAATATATCTGCTGCCTTGGGACGGAATGTATAGTTTAGCTTTTTTTTTTTTTTTTTTTAAACAAAGGTCAAGACTTTCTAAAAAACATCTTAAAAATTCAATTCTTTCAACTGTTTGCCAATAAAACAAGTTAAGAGTGCGAGCCAACCAAGATTCTTTAACGTTCTGTGAGTGTTTCTAAATCTGGATACGCTGGGAATCCCTTACGCTTCGTGCGCTCGGAGGCAGGGCGGGCGGCACCGTGCTAACAACCTGCTGCGGAGGTTAACGGGAACTGAGACCGAAATCTTGGTTTCGGAGAAGAGGCTGCCCTACCACCTCCGGTAGTTGCACGTCTGAAGGAAATCTCTTTGTGCACTGACTGACGGAATACAGCACGCGCGAAGGCATCGGGTAAGCTCCTATTTGTAACAGGACGGCAAGATCCCTAAGAAAATAGAAAGTAGGACTTCAATGCATTTTAACCTAAAAGCGCCATCACGTAGTTAACCAGCAGTAGCTAGGGTGGCTTTCCTGCCCCCTTTCCCTTAAGATACTCTTTTATGGCTTCTTAACCTTTTCACCTACATCTTGCAATAAATTGGTGAGAAAGGCAGGCAATGGAAAATACAAAATTATGTTAAGATTTGTTGGTCTTATTCCCTGCTCTCATTCATTGGGCTGACTGACCTTTCTGTCCAGCATGGGCGGTTTTCCACTACTGGCATCTCTCTTCAGCTATTCACAAGAAGTATGAGGCATGAAATCTAATATTTGCAGGCGTTAAAAGGCTTAAAATTATTACGATTTTATCACTTGGAGCTCTTCTAAAATTTTCCACGCTCTCTCTGAAGTTATGATGAACTCCATGCTCAAAATTGCATCGGCCTTCTCATCTCCCGAGTTTGTCCGATTTCTGGGCTACGCCGTTAGGCTGTGGTCTCTCCCTCCGGAGCGCGCAGAGCCTCGGAAGAAGCGTTTGGTAAACTACTGCGTCCTCCTGCTGGGAGTTCGCACATGGGGCAATGCTACCTTTGTTTGTTCGACTGGCGCTTTTAACCGGCCAGAGACCCTGACTTACCTTTATCCGCCATTCATGGGGGTAAAAATGCTTCCACAGCGCTCTCCCCAAATCGGGAAAGAGCAGTGCACCGCTGGCCGCTATGGTGCAGAAGCGTCTGCTCTAACTCTCGGGTTATAAGCTACTTACTGACAGTAAAAACGAAGCCTTGACCACTCCAGACAGGCCACAGACATCTTTTTTTTTTTTTTTTTAACATACGGTGAAAAATAATAAGCCCTGTGGCACAAAAAATGGTAAGATTCCTCAGAGCAGCGCTCATCATTTAAAAAATAAAAATCAGGATCTGAACTGTGGTATCTGCTATCTGATGTTGCAACTCCAACTACTAAGCACAAACCTGAAACCCTCGCACCAGAGCCGAGACTGCTGCTTTCGGGCATCGTCTTTGCCACATTTTCGAAACGACACAATTGCAAGGAGTTTCTTGGAGTTTAAAAACTGATTAATAAAGTTGTGAGATAGATAGAAATGCGTTTTACAGACATAAAAATATACCGAAGCTATTCCTCAGGTGCTGTAAGCAAGAAGAGAAAAGCAACCAAGCGTTTTTCTTTAATCAGAAACTTAGCACGGAGCAGCATGGTAAGTACAAGAAAAATGTTGGGAAGCAGCAGTGAGCTTTCAAAACCAGTGGCGATTCCTCTGGGGTTCCTCCAGTGCGATACCCGCGGAGCTCGTGCCGCGGGCAGAAAAGGGCAGGACGCGGGTCCTGCATGCGAGACGCTCCGGCGAGGCGGGGGAGAGAAGCCTGCACTGTCCCAAACTTGGGAAAAACCGGGAGGTGTTTGAAGAGCAGCGAGTTCAAACAACGTAACCGAGAGGGGGGCCACAGTGCAGAAACTACTAGGGGGTGACGGGCACGTATATGTAGCTAACTAAATTCCAGTCCTGCACGCTGACCCGTGTATGGCGATTCTGAACTTACAACCTATGATAAAATAGACGCCAACTAGAATGACCGCCTTGAAAGACTTGCTGAGGACGATCGTTTCTTCATACTTCTATGCTTGCGACCAGCGAGACACACCTAGGAGCGGAGGAGAAAAATGACAGGGCTGAGTGTCGTTAAGCACTAAAGGATTCCTTGTAGCTTTTAGAAAGCTACTACGAGGTGTGTATCCAGCAAGAGGACAAACGAAGTACTGAGGCAAAGGACCAGGCAAAAGCAATGGAGGTGCGGTCATTGGCCCCGCAAGATTTTTCTTCAGTGAGCCATAGGTGCGAAGTACCTCCTCAAGAGGCACAGCAGAGTAAAGCCTCGAGGAGACGGAAAAAGGGGAGCACGCAGTACCGCGAGCAGTTCCTGAACGAGAAACCCTCAAGGCCTTCCTGTTCCCTGTGGAAAAGGTACTGGTTCTGGTTCTTCCAGGTCTTTACCAGGACGAGGAGGTGGCTGCTCTGGGGCCAGGCTGGGCTGGCCGCTGCTGGGTGGCCCCGGGAGCCGTCGCCCTGAGCTCCTCCTGCTTCCTCTGGCCCAGCGCTCCCGCGCCCGCCCTGGGGGCACAGGGCCAAACTGCGCACCCTTGCCCTCCCGCCCGCCCTTTGGCGCACCAGCGCCTGGCTGCAGGACAAGGCGGCCGTTTCGTCCTTGCGGTAAGATGGCTAGCAAAAATAAAACCAAGTACCTCTGCAACGTTTCTTTTGAAGACGGAAACAAAAATGTCAGCCAGTAACTCACAGCTGTTCCGTTTGAACATCTGCACGTCTATCATTCTGCTAACCCCCGTTGCTTTTAAGGCTGCAATTAGACGCTCCATTGTCCTTTCCCTCAGCCTCTCCCCTTCCTTCACCTTTTTAAATACATTTTCCCCGCAGCAGTCAAGAACCGCGGCCTTGCGCAGAAATAACGAACCACGCGCGCGCGTCGGAAGTTGCTGGGCCGGTGAGCCACGGCTTCTGCGGGCACGGGGCAGCCCTCGCCAAAACCTGACAAAGCTCTGGTTTTGGGACTGTTCTCCCTTTATCCCCTTCGCCTGTTCATCAAGTTGGCCTGACATCACACCTAGTCCAGCAGCTTAGTAGAGGAGGGAAGTCGTTTAAAAAAACTGCAAGAGCAAGGAAATCGGCGTTTTGATTAGAGGAGTCCACTGTGTGATGAGAGCCGAAGTACACTCAGCCCCTCTACACCCCAGAAGAGAAAACAAATTAGCTGCATATTTGATAGTTATCTGTGATAGCAGCAGGTAAAATAATGAAGCATGTGCACGTTTCCAGTAGTCCTACACCTTATGCTTACTCGCAATTCAAAGAGGAGAAAAATAACGAAAACCTAAGTCACAGCTGAAGGTAAAAGGCGAGAAGAGCTGAAGGCCGTACCCAGAGGCGCATCGAGCAGCGTGACCAGGCTCTGCTCCGGGATGCAGCGCCGGGGTTTACTGCAGTGGTTTTGGCCAGACCTCCACCTCTCCTTTTAAACGCTCCTGGCCTCGCAGCCGCACCGACTTGGAAATGAAAGCGGGATCGAGTTGTGATGTTGTCTGCTCCTCCAACGGAGGCCAGGAACAGTACTAATGATCTAAAGAAATTAAAATAGTTAGACAAACCAGACCGGTGATTTAGACTATTTCAAGGTGGCATCAAGCAGGTATTCAGCTCAAGTAACAGCATTAAGTAAGTACTCCCCAGACTCAGCTTCACATTCAAGCGAAGCACAACTCTGATCCTACTTGCTTTCGTGGATGAGCCTCAAAACCAACTTCTGTGAAGATTTCAGGTCGCTGCTTATTTTAGCAAAAATAGCCTTAGCTGGCCTAGATTTCCCCCCCTTCCGTGATTTGCTTTCTGCAACCGTACGATTTGAACAAAAACCCATTGCAAAAATATGCAAAGCACAAATTACATATAAAACCCCGCCACGTACTAGTTTAGACAGTCATATTGAATATAGCTTTTTGGTGAATTAAGGTTTATCTGCAACCGTCAGAGGACGTCGGCAAGTGCAGAATTTAGACCAGCGCCGCTACAGAAGGTCCAGGGCTGGCACCCCGCCGAGCCCACCAGCAGCACTCCAGTTTCATTCCAGTTCACCCCTTTCCAATCCAGCCGTTCAGACCTTGTCAGGGAGAACGCCGACAGGAGATGGGAGACGTGAAGTAGGATATTATTCATACAAGACACTGCGATGACACAATCCAAAACCCATTTAATTAAAGACACCTTTCACTTTGTGCGCTTTGCACCTGGCCCTCGGCACCCATTCATTATCTATGGCTGTGGGTAGCGAGACGCCGCGTTTCCCAGTTTTCCTCCCTTTAAAGCATCAGCAACAAAACGCTTTCCCTTCACGAAGTGGCTCCGAGCATTTTGTGCATATTTTATAGCAAACGGCAGAAGGATTACCAAACCGACTCGGTCAGATTAATAAAATAATGTTCTCAGTGGTGTAGTACAAAAGAAATGTGCAAGAGTTCCTCCTCGCTCAAACTACAATACTTAGCATTAATGAAAATATTTGCACAAAGCACATTCTAATCGTTTTGCCATTTTCCAGTTCAGACAGGGTAGCAGGAAACCTTAAGGTGAAACATTTCTTTTTCCACAAAACAGGCTCTTAACAGTTTCTCCCTAACATAACGTGCACACAACAGCATATTGTCAATTTAAAAAAATATTTAATGCTGCCAAAAAGTATAAAAATACAGTAAGAATGGCAGTACAAAACAAAATATTTCCTAATTTATTTCTTTTACATCTTTCTACATTAATACAGGCATTATAAAAACACAAGATGGCAAATTATTTTGTTTTGCAAAGTAGCACGCTGCTGGTGGTCTTCATCCCCTCGATGCAGTTTACGCTGTAAACAGATAACTGAGGTCTTCTTGGTACTTAACAGACCTCACTTTTTGCTCCCGAAGAGGGGTTCATGTCTCGCTTTGCATGGCAATAATTTGCAGTTTATAGCTGCAGAATATTCGCAAGTCTTGAAGGCTTAGGTGTCAGTCAGTCTCGGCCTGCGACATACAATGCAGAAGAAAGTCACCGATTCAGTACACAGTATGGAAAAAAAAAAAAAAAAAAGAAAAAAAAAAAAAAAAAAGGAGCGGGGGTTTGACTCACTCATTGACAAAGTCCTGTGCCATCACTGAAGGTGTTTGTTCCTATCTTATCTCCTGCCAAAACACCAAGGCCAGCAAAGCTCACGCTTCTGAGAATTTAGACTAGAAGTTAGAGTGTGTATGTCTGCCACCTTACCTCTGCCTGCTCTGGCAGACATCTCCGTACTCTTCCTTTGTAAGTGGAAGTTTCCTGCATCTCTTAAGCAATATATACATCGCCTCTCCTCACGCTCACAGGTTTGCTCCAGCTACTCCTTCTCGCCATTCAGTACAGCAATCTGCAGGCAAGTGCAACCTAAGGAAGACAACAAAGAGCTTGTGTACATCCTGCAGAGTGGCCGGTATGCCGATCAGCTCTTCGTTTCCTTGTTTTCAGAAATCGGAGTTTTGCTGAATCCAGGACTCTGAAAAGTCCTGAAGGGGCACAAAGTCCTAAGGCACGACCTCAAATTTTGAGTATCAGGATTGACACAGTATGGAAAAAAAAAAAAAAAAAGGAAAAAGAAATAAGAACAGGCAGCGGGTTTGCAACTCACTATAAACACCAAACAGCTTCTCCTGCATTCCCTGGAGCAACTACCGACTACTGTTTGCCTGCAGCGAGCGCTCCTGGAAAGCCGTTGCTGTTCCAGCAGGTATTTCCACATTACAGTATAAGGCCCATGCTTGCTGGAGAGCTTCGCGTAGAGGTCTCAGCCCAGCAAAGCACGCACTCGTGCATTTAAGCCCAAGCACCGCAGAAGTCTTCTCGGGCCTTAGCGGGGCCAGAGAAGGCTGCACCTCGCAACACTAACATCACCGCTCGTGGCTCTCTGGGCCAACCCTGGCGCAGCGGCATGGAAACAAGCGCTTCTTGTAGCGAGGAAGACATCCCAAGACTGGACGTTTTGTTCTTAGGGAAGGTAAGGCCCTACTCCAAGGAACACAGAAAAAGACCTTGGTGTTTACAGCACCAAATATCCAAGCTACTACAAGTGAAACGCTTCTAAGTTCTGCAAGCACTACCCTGATTCATAAAGCAGCTTTCTTGGAGCAGTTAAGACACATTTAAGAAATTCTTCCAAGTATTTATCCTTCCAATTTAAATAAAGACTCAGACAGAGATGCAATTTTGAACAGATATATTTTTGGTACATAAAAAAAAAAAAAAAAAAAAGAAAGAAAGACTGACCTAAAACTCTGGGGGAAAACAAAAAAGCCCAGGAAGACTACTGTGTGTTACGTCAACTTTGCAAATCTCATCCTCTGACTTAAGCCACCCGGCCATGCAGAAGACTTCCTCTTTGTCATCGTTAATTTAGTTTCTTGTGCAGTCCTCAGGTGGCTCAGGTTTAACTACAACGCCAAACAGCAAACTAAATAATTTGGTTAACATTCGTTAAACTTAAAGCTAGCTAGGCTTTTTAATCGCCTGCACAATCCAGTCACACAGACGTGCATACACGTTTACGCCTCTTCCCTTTTCAGTGGGACAGAAACTGATGTCAGTAAACCATTTTACTCAAGGTTTAACAGAATAAGCTACGTTTCACTTGCAACATCTTACTTCCATAAAATAAACCTGCAATTTTTTTTTTCAAATCACTGAATCCAATTGTTTTACTTAATACATTTCAAGAAAATTACAGATGTACCGTCACTCTCAGTGGACTTTCCCTGCACCAAGAACAGAAACAGAAAGCCTAAAGGACCAACTCCAAATTTGCAAAGCCCTTGCAATGGAGGTCCACGTGTTTGTTAGTGATTTTTTTTTTTTTTTTATAAAAACATGCATGATTTGTACAGAAGTGTTCATCTGAGAGTCGAACATTGTTTAATCAAATGCAAAGAAGTCCGCTATGCATCAAGTATTTTGACTGATGCATTTCCAGAGCAGAGGGGAAAACCCAACACAGTAACGCTTTGAATTGAGTGCAACAGCATTTTAGAAGCAGCACGGGAACAGCGAGCAGCTTGCCAGGAATTGGGGTGGGGGGAGGCAGGAGAGGGGTCAGAAGGCACATCCTTCATTTTTACTCTTTCTTTAAGCATTTCCTACCATAGAGGGCACTGGGACGGACAGTTCTTTATTTTGGCCTCTATTTGTTCCTATTTAACATCCAAGTTGTGCAAAACTGCTGCAAGTTTAAATCCTACAGAATAACCAAGTACTACAAGGGCTCGGTTTTCTTTACCGCAAACAAGCCTCCCCCAGAATTTGGTTTTTAAGGATTACTGACGGACCAGAAAGAAGAGTTTTATCCAAACTATCTCCTGGAATGTACTAAGGGATCAAATGTTTAATTTCCCTTCCACGCCCATACTGTCATGGACAATTCACTGTACAAAACAGTTTTGTCCAAGACTTTTATTGGTTTGTGGTCCTTAAATTATTAACAGTCAAGACTCTCAAGATACTGACAATCATGTAACCAAACCAAATGTTTTACAGATCAGCCGCTGAATGTGCAAGTCCTGCTTTATTGCATCAAGAAGGTAACGGAGCGTGAGATGATGCGAGATGGCCCCCTCCCGCCCTGCCCCACCCAGAAAAGAGGAATGCCTGCTCAGGATCAAGAGAACAAAAAAGCCAGGATTTAGCAGACGGAATCAGGGAAAAATTCAAGTGACAACTTGACAAGACAGAGCTCAGTGTCTGTAATACTGGTGGCCCAGGAAACCCTTCTCATGCAAGCAGAGAGGCGATAAATGACAGTATGATTTCAGCCAAGGTTTCGCCTGCACTTTTTCCTTAGCTGCTTTTAAGTATTTAGAATAAAATCTGGAATATTTCTGTAATAAAAGCATTTAATTACATTCTACGTGTTTTGCCATAATCAAAATATCTTTTATAAGGCACATGCATTTACACCTACTATCGGTTATAGCTGATACTGGAAAACCTGTCTTCCCTATTTAAAGAAAAAAAGAATCTTTTGCCAAGCCTCTCTCTTTGGCTAAAAGAGTTGCTGTGGTTGTAACAATTACGAAATGTCTTAAAATACGTAAGCTGCCTGCCTATACTGTGTCACAGCAATCGATAAGTCATTTTGCTATTAGAGCTGCATAGTTAGTAATGCCACAGGTCCAATTATCTTCTCTTACGGACACACAATTCCCCAAATTCAGAACTGTATGCTCTAGGAAACTACGCTTGTTTTCCTTATCTGGACCCTTAAGCATTTGTTTACTATACAAACAGCGTAGTCCAAAATAGTATTAGCTATTGTGAAATGAGAATTTCAAAGAGTAAACTTAGCTTAGCTTAGCACAGGAAATGTCAGGCTATTTGGGCCCCATGTCTGGTATGTCACTACTACGCTTGAATGTACTGGACACCTTTCAAGTTAATTCCTTTGGGTAAGGAGCAAAGTACTTATCTAGCTATTTTAGTATTTTTTAGCAGTAAATCCAAGAAGTGCTTTACAAAAGGACAAAAGGAAGGGTGGGGAAAAAAAAACAAACAAAAAAAAGGAAAAAAAGAACACACACCCCCCCCCCCCCACACCACACCCCCCCCCCCCCCCCCCCAAACCCCACACCCAACAGAAAACAACCAAGCTAGGAAAACGGAGGGAAAAAACACAACTTCTCTGAAGTCACCCAACAAGGCAATGCTTGAATAAATAAAATCCACGTTTCAAAGTGCAGTCCAATACCACAAATTATTAGGTCTCAACTTGAAAGACAGCAAGCTACATACAGCCACGTACGATCTCTGTATTCAGAGAATCTGAAGGACAGAAAGCGATTTGTCTTGAATTACTATTTAGAAAGTGTTATCGTCCAACTAACGGAAAGGGAGTGCTCAATAATTTTAAAGTGATCGTAGCATAGGTATTCCCAGCATATTAGTCACTAAGTGTTTGAAGTCATGCCTCCTTAATGCAGTGCTGGGGAACATGAACAGCAATTCTAGACTTCTTATGGCAGTGGCTCACACAGCTGAAGGTACTGGGTACGGGAGAATACTACCAACATTTGTTTTCTATTACAACCACCCTTGGAAGTCCAACTATAGTTTCCTTTGATGTGCTTTCTACACCTATTGCTGATGAATGAATTTGATTCTTTCTAGCAATTAAAATCTATAGACACACAAAACATTATGTTTCACATTTAATGGAATGTCAGAACTTTAACAATGTTGGCCTTCAAACAGTAGTTGAAGTCTGAATACATGAATCAACAGTATGCTTTTTCAGTGGGGGCTAAGTTCTCAAAAGCCTTAAAAAAAAATAATCAAATTTCCAAGCCTTACTTAAATAATGAAAACTACAAAAAAATAAATAAGGAATGCAAAGTAACAGAGTAGAAATTGGTAAGTGCTTCATCAGACCCCTAGCTGCTCATATCATAAATTTTAGAGTCAAAATATGGGGAATGGTTGCACTATTATTTTCATGCACAAATTATAATTACATTTAGTTTCAAAATCAAATTCTTTTTGGTCAGAAATTTGTACAAACTGAGCTTTTAAAAGTACAGTAAACTACAAAAAGATTAAATATGCAATTATAAAATATATTTATCCTAGGTCATAAGAATATAAAATGTTTATGTTCATGTCACTAGTACATTACACATTACACACATTTAAGGATAACTTCTTTGCATTAATAATGTAAATGATACAACACTGTTTATTGCTTATGTCAGGCATGTAAATTTAAATCCAGACAGCCTTCAGTAGCTAAACCTCTGTGGTTCAGGGTTTGCTTAAGATCCAGTAGAACACCATTTTAAAAAGTGTATAAACAGTCGCAGCAAGTTTGTACCTGCTCATATAAACAAAAAAACATCAACTCTGTTGGGGGGCGGCAGTTCATTTTTTTAAGTACCTGCAGTGGAAAGTCCTGAGATGTTGACATGGGATCAAGTTTACGTCACTTCTCTATTGTACGTAACAGTCTGTACCCATTCCAGGTGTAAGGAATTTACTGCTTTAAGTCACACCCCTAGTCATTAACTTGCAGCAAAACTAGCTGCTGGAGCAGACAGGCTTACTGTTTACTTATAAGGAATGTTCTTGAAAATACATTTTCCAGCAAGAATAAGCGCCAACTAAAATCAGTGTACCAAACCCAATCTTAGTGAGAATAGGTTTCCAATATAACCACCTTTTTCTTTTTCTTTCAGTCTCATTTAGCTTCTGCTTCATCTGCTGCAGCTTCTGTGCTGTGTTAGCTTTTCTATCCTCTCGCAGTCGTTTTCGGACAGTACTTAAAGAGAAAAAAAAAAAAGGAAAATCTTAAATTGTAGAACAGGAAAAAAGTCTATTAAAATATGAAAACAAACCTCCTCCCAACACACTCCCAGTAGTTAACCAACCCACCAGTAGCATATGGCAACAGTATATAAAATCTAGACCAAGCAATCTTTATTCTGTTTTAACAACCTTGACGTGGACAGTTTCAGGCCAGTGAAGCCCCATGAAGTAAGTAAATGACATATGTCAAGATGGAAGTGGTGCTCGACCTCAGTGTTCAACAGGGAACAGAATTAGCTTAATTATCTGAGCTTAGTCTTTCACCCTATTCGGTGGCTGAGATTTTTCGCATGGAGGCTGCTTTTATATGCAATGTCAGGTACTATGTGCAAACATTCACAGTATTTAAGCACGTGCCTCCACTGCAGAGTTCACACCAGCCTCACTGATACGTTGATCCTAATCTACTCATGTCTGCATCCAGCTTAATAGTACTCAGGCTGTAAATCAAATCTTGATCAAGGACACAGGCTAAAAATCAGTTGTGTGTTGTTACATTATCAGGGCCGCCTTGGAATTCTTGTCTCCAAAAGCATCCTCACAATCTCTAAGAAAGCATTAACTCCGACACACACACACAAAAAAAAACCGCTTTGATTGTTCAAGTCCTAGCACACAAACACCGCTCACACCCGTGCCCCCGCCCCTTGTGAGGGGCTCCTTCAAACATCTACAGAATCCCTGCCATTCTCTCTCAGAACACTCATAAAGACACGGAAAGATAAACTCATCAGGGCATTCAGTATGCCATCCGCTATTTCAGAATTCCAGTCTATCTCCATTGGACTGCTGCCTCTCGCCTCAGAGCGCAGCCCTTTGGGACAGAGGCTGCCTCCTCCTGTGCACCGCAGGGCTGGGCAGAAGCCAGCCTGGCTTCTGGGTCTCTGGCTATGGATCCCCACCCCCCTCACCTGGGCAGGCCCAAGTGACACAGCGCCCCAAGGCACAGCAATTCGGATGGTAATTCCCAATACAGCGGCTCACAGCTGAGGCACTACTGCTCGTGAGGCAGAGAAACTTGAAACAGAAAGACAAATGCACATGCCACAGCTAAACCACAGAAATCTGTTCACAGTGGTAGACGTAACACGAATGGAGGGTAACATATGGCTTCAATGATACAACTGCAATCATCATATAGAAAGCGGTAGGTGATAAAAACTTTTTGCTTCTGAAGTATCATATATTTTTCCAAACAGAAGTTAGTTTTGTATTTAAGAATCAGTCTTGAATTATTTTGGGCACTTTTAGGACCTAATTGACACTGCACAACGGAGTTCACACTCAGTCTGTAGGAAAAGGCTTTCAAGCATGAGGTTTAGCTGCTTCATCTAGAGACACGTGGTTTTCTTCTATTGACCTTTAAACAATAAGGGTTTATTACAATGAATAATTGAAGTTGTATTTAAAAAAAAATTAAACCAGACAGTCAAATACCACCTGTCCTTTCCCTCTACCGAAGAAAGATCTTGAAGGTTTCTTCTTATCGTAAGAAAAGCACACAATAATTCAGCCTCTCAAGAGAGTGTATCTATCTGTCCTCTAAGCAGTTTCCTCATTTTGCCTACCTTTCAATGTTTCCATCTGTAATATCTTGAACTTTAGGGGACAGGTCAGTATTTATTTTCTCCATTTGATCTCTATTCTCCAGGCCTATGCTGTTCCCATTGTACTTCTCTGTGGTTATTTTGGTTGGGTGTGGAGGAGACTGCTCAGAACTTGGTGCTTGGTCCTCCTTGGAGAGCTCCTTCCACCGTTTCTGCAAACAAGGAGAACATGTTTCAAACATTCCCCTAACACTGAAAGCCCTCTTTGCCCAAGATGTCTTCCCGCAGAACAGTCACAGAAGTAGATTAAAGGAACTGCTAGATCAAGGAAAAAAGATAACAATTGCTAGATGAAGAAATAAGGTGAGATGAAGATCCATCTTCTCCAACAATGATCCCTGTTTATATTTCTCCAGGATGACGCTACCATGAAGGTATGAAGTTGCTAACTTTGGGGTTTGTACTGTCCACAGTAGCTCCACAATGAGGAAGCAACTTGTCTTGTATAGTCTTGCACTGCCCAGCACTTACCGTCTCTGCCTACTCTCTACAGGCCTACACTGTGCTGTTACCTTTCACGGCTCCAAAACACAGTGGGACCTTGTGTGCAATAACTGCCTAAAAGGAGAGAGAACTGGAAAAATCTGCAACGCCGATGAAAGAAAAAAAAAACAACCTAGGGTTATTCACGCCAAAGTCATAGGCCTACTATTTCACCTAGTGCTCCGTTAGCCTGGAGACCTACTGCATCATAAAACAGATATTCACCTTGTTTTGAGAAGTAATCTGAAACGAGATGGAAGGACAAAAAAATATCAGAAGTAGAACTGGTTTGCTAGATCTCTGTCCTAATGATGAATAGTTAAGAAAGATGAACTGAAAATTGACTCTTCACAAAACAAGTGGTAGATTCTCCTCTGTCAGATGAATTCAAGACTGCTGGTCTAAACTAATTATCAAACTCGGAGAGCCATGTCAAAAAACCCCAGCTACTTATAAACGAACTGCTGGGAGAATGAGCTTTAACATCAAACTGACTCCTCCATTGCAGAGGAGCTTCCAGTATAGGTCTGAAACTCACAAAGGGAGTCTCCATGCACAAGACACTTCACTCTCAGAGGTTTTCTTTGTTTTGTCTTAAACGAACAAACAAAACCAAAAGAGAAACAGCCACTAACAAATGGCAATCCACTTAGCAGCTCCCTCTAACTGTCACAGAAAAAGGCCTTTTGGAAGACACGGTTGTGTCCGTAAGAGACTTGCTGGCTGAGATAAATACTGATTACATCTGGAGTGATCAGCCACACAGAACTGAAATCAGAGACAATTTTACTACTCTTGTCAAACAGAAGGAATTTCTCACCAAGAATTCTATTTGAAACATGTAATAACAATAGCTCAAATAGGTGGTAATTTTAAGTTTAAATATCTATGACAAGAGTACGTGAATGGCAGGACTGGTAAAATAATGTACAGCTTGGAGCAGCCAGACAAGGAGGATTGTCTTGATACATTACCTTTGCCATTTTATGATAGTACCTGCAACTTTACAAAAAAGAAAAAACGAAAATATATCTAAGGAACTGAAGCACCACACTGCGTCTTGTGAAATTATGTCTGGAAAAATCAAAGAAGTGACGAAGTTTGATTTGAGAAGTACAATTGTCCTTAAAATTATAACCAAAATGCCCGTGTAGGGGAGCTAAGACTTAGGGCCTGTATTGCCTCTTGGAACGAATGGAGACAACAGAAAGGCATCTTAAGATGTTCAGCTGACAGAATCAGGTGAATGTCAGATACAGATTTTGGATTCACAAGTTTCAGTACAAAGTTACAGTATTCTTGTTCTCTGTCTGTAAAACACATCTATGGATCTAAGGAATTCAACTTTCATTGTCATTCCAAAGCCGCAAATGTGTTTTCCAAAGACCACTCATTTCAACAGACTTTTTTTTCTGAAGAGTGACAGTAAATTATTCTACTACGTTGCTGAAGCAATATTAACTTATCTTTAATACGAAGGAATTTTATAGAAATGAGAACTTCAATCTTGTTCCACCTCACTGATTTTATATAGTGCAGTGTAGTATAATCAGGAAGCAAGTAATTGTTTCAGCTACAGCACCATGCAGCGGCACACCAACCACATGCCTCTGAAGGGCTTCAGGGCGACCTCGGTGAGTGTACGATCCTTCCTTCCAGTCACAGGTGGAAATCCCAGAGGTGCTAAAGGAGGGGAAGAGGCTCCCCCCCCCCCCCCCACTCCCCCCCAATACCGGTGTTGCAGTTGCAGCCACCAGCTGTAAGCAAGTGAAGGTTCAAGCGTACGTTGTGTTTGTCTGCACAGTTTACTGACTTCTGAAATCCATGGAGATGTCAGAGATGAACATGTGGCTAATGTTATAATAGAGAAGCGTTCAATGACTTCATGCCCTCCCCATCACGAGCAGAGAGAAGTAAACACGCGTCACACTCTGGATAGTACAACTGTTCCCTACAGACGGGGGGGAAAAAAAAAAATGATCTAGCTGACCTTGAATGGAGAAATACTCCTATGAAGTACTGCCAATTGATTTTCTGCACATGACCCTAAGGCCTAAAGAGAAAAGCACCAGGACAACTGCCTGCACTGCAGAAACCACTGGTTTAGGAAAGATCATCTGAACAATCATAACAAGAAAAAAAAAGAACAAATTAGAAGTGTGGTTTCTTAGGCATTCTCTTAGTATGAAGAAATAACACACTTAATAACTGACAAGCAGTATTCTGAGGTGTCAATGACCCCTTGTATCCAGAAACAAGAAATCCTGTGATCTAGATGGGTGTGGGAACCAGAGCTGCTCACAGTTTGGAGCATGGCTTTTTAAAAAACAAAGCAGAAAAATTAGAGAGAGGAATACCCTCATACCACCAGAAACAGCTTCCCCAAATTAAAGAGGCTAAATTGCCATTAGTGTTAGGATGAATCATGCCGTCTTCTAGGCGTATGGCACAGCTGTCAGACTAGCAGCACACTACCTAGGTGTTGATTAGTAGTTGTGCAAAACTATTTACAAAGCAAGTCAAGAAACATTTGTCAAAGAATCTGATAACTACCAGAACCACAGAAAAGAGGAAATGTGTTTTAGTTTATCTGCTTCATTCATGATTTTAAGAGATCAACAAAAATAAAAAAAAAACCCTAGCATATGAAAGCAGAATTAAGTCTGTTTTGCAGCCTCATCTCCCAGTTCTCCCTCCCACCCAGCCCCAGCCATTTAAAACAGCTGTAGCTACTGTTACATCTGCAAGCCATGCTGGTAAAACAGTGAGATTTGGTAATCTGTTTACCCCAAAACTCATTACAGTCAGCTAGATTCTAGTAACTGCAACACAAATTTTAAAGGATATGGGGAGGGACAGGGGAAGCAACTTCACTAATAAACCTGATCTGTAGCATCAGGCAACTTTATTGTTAGGAAAATAAATAGCAAAGTTCAAGAAATGCTAAAAAGATCCTTGCTGTCTTTTCAAACTGATACTGGGAATTACTTTTGCTTTTCAGTATTGAAGGATTTAACCTTTTCTCTTCCCCAACATTAGTACAGACAAGTTATTTTTATATTTTATCTAAGAGGGAACAAATACATAGGATCAAAAGTTTAGCTGATAGAAGGCACTGATCAGATACCCTCTATTACCTTCTAGGCATGTATTGAAAAAGGCAAATTATTTAAATCCCACAAAGTTACATGTTTTAAAGTAGTTTGGAGCTCATTCTTAACTACATTAGCAGTCTACTGTTTATGGTTAAATACACAGAGCTAAACACTTACCTGTATAGTTGAATCCCCCATTATAAATTTTGTTCCTTCTATTACAGCCATATATGAAAATCTTAGTTGATCAGGAGTCTGAATAAGTCCCATTCGATATTTTCTCATATCCAGCAATACCTTCTTAATATCTACCGAAAATGGGTCTTTTTTCTCCATCTGTGAAGAAAGTTACATCGAAAGCATCATTGCTACTGATAGAGACAACATATAAAGAATAATTACAAGTAGAAATGACTCATAAAATTCAACCTAAAAATTAATTTCTTCATATTATGTTTCCATTAATTATATATGAAATTCACATCTCAAATGACTTCTAAATTGTTTTTACAGGAAAAAAGATAGCCATCTAATGAGAGCTTCTTATGAAAAAAATCAATCATCAGGTATTAACCAAATAAATCAGCACCCTAATACCAAGTCTTAAAATTAAGAAATTTAGATATGCTTGATTTTATTCAGGTATGTATTTGTACTTTGAAATAGGACTACAAGAATCAGAACCATAAAGCAGTCTTTTCTACTGCTCCTGAATGGAACAGCAATTTGGAATGACTGAATGGGGCAGAAGTTTCCTTATTTAAAGCAGAATCCCTAATCCAAGCAACGCACACACTTGTCCCCACACTATATTCATGGGGTGTTTTTAACCATGTATCTGTGCTTCTTGCGATGTTCACTTTAATTTGTCTAATATTAAAGTATACTTGCATCAAAATATACACCTATGTTTTTCAAAATGCAGAAAAAAAGAAAAAGTGAAGAAAAAAGAAAAAATAAATTGAAAGGACCTAACCAAACTAGAAGTGTCCTGTAATTTAAATGAAATCCTATTTCACCTAACCCTGTGCTGTACTTCTCACTATTACCAGGCACAGCCAAAGACAAAAAGTCCGTGTCTGGACTTTAAAATCCAACAAAAATTTAAAGAGATTTAAAATATTATTTAACATTTAAAGTTCACTCAAGTCATGAGCAATTATAGATGATGCAGTTCACTGAGTAAGCAAAAAACCTACTTATTCATGTGGTACTGCAACTGGCTACCAAGCCCCACCTCCCAGAGGGCTGCACAGCTAGGGAAATTCTGCACCATCCTCCATTACACACTGCAGAGATCCAGGGGCATGCCCGGGTTCTCATCTTAGTTCAGATACCAATTTTCTGCAACCTTAAGAAAAGGGGCCTGTCAGACCTGCAAGATATTCCATGTTTAGAGACAAAGACTTATATATTCGGTTGTCTCAATACATATTCACAAGCCTAACTTTAAGCTCATATTCAAAAAAACCCTCAAAATTGCAATCTTTTCTAAGCACATCTTATATAAAAGGAAAAGAATGCTTACTATTTACTTTCCAGGAAGCTTTGAAAATGTGTAAAGTACTTCAAGATGGATTTGTAAATGTATTTCAAGAGTTGTGTTTTTAAACCGTCAAAATATGTGAAGGAAAAAAAAACCCAATTATGACTGGCATGTCATTAACTTAAATGCTTTTAAAGCCTTCTGACCAAAAAGCCCATATTGGGAACACAGGCAGGCTGTCAGGAGAAGGAAAGGGGTGACAGAGAAAATGACCGCTTACCAGAACAAGACAAGTATCTACTAATGAAAACGTGCCGGAACGTCCTATCCCCGCACTGCAGTGAACTACTGCAGGTCCGTGTTCAGGACTTAGTGAACCAGACTCTCTGACTTTAAACAGGAAGTTCAGGAATGAAGCTGGGGATTCAGGAACTCCAAAATCTGGCCACGTAGTATAATGAAAATGAAAGATCATCCTGGACTCACCACTCTAGAAGGGAAAACAAATAAACAATACAACTAGAAAGTATTCTACTTTTGTTTAGTTAGCACACATTTCCCCAATCTAAATCTATAGCTACTTTCTATTTCAAACCTCGCATTTAGACAAACAATCCAATCACCTGCTTCAAGTGGGATGACAACCAACAGTGCAACCTGAAGCAGTTTTTCATCCCAGTTGGTAGTTTTCCCCTTGGCAATTATTATCATATGCATTTTTTTTCTTCTTCTCAAACTTCCAATATTATATTTGGGTTGCTTTACTACTTGCCCCCAAATCTTCTTTTTCTACCATTAATGCAGCTTAATGCCTGACAGCAGCTATTAGACTGCTAGCATTAACAGGACTGAAAAAAATGCCTGTCAGCATTGTAAGCACTCCCCACTCTTGCTCAGAGCAAGTTTTAATATCAAGAGGTATTAGCATCTCCTTTATACTAACCACACTACTGAAAGGAGCAGGAAGATTTATGGAAAATGCCTAGAAGAACCCTTATAGCAGGATGTCTAGCAAGACTACTGCTGGATTTATTCAATCTTTCTAGGCAAGAAAGAAGGATTCCAAAACCACGCAGTTGTTTTAGAACCATGCAGCTCCTCTCCTAACGTGACCAACTAACTGCAAGTATTGAAATGACAGCAAGAAAGTATGGATATATCTGAAAAGCTTTGATGACAAATTTGGATCGTATCTTTACAGAAGTCACTTTGGACCTGCTGTTAAATGCTACTCCTTGCCTCTCTTTTCTTGCTACAGTGATTTTGAGGTGACTTGATCACTGATTTAGCTCAGGAATTTTAGAAAGGTTCAGTTATTTTTATCCTCCCTCCATTTCATCTTATTTTCCACATAGATTGAAACCTACATAAACCTCCACAAAGCTGGAACACAAGAAGATTTAAAATATCAATCTATTCCAGCAAAGCTATTTTTATTCTTCAGCAACAGTAAGATATAGCTATGAAATTAAAATAAATTCTACTGTTCATCTCCTGCTCAGCCTGTTTCAACTTCTTATGAAGGACAAATTAAGAAACTCCTTTATGAAACTAAAATAATCCAGTTCATGGTTACCACAGTAACAAAAATACTCTCCCATTTTGTCTTTTGCCTTCAACACCTGGTACTGGAAGGCTGCCGATACTTTCACAGAAAACAGTGGGTATTAACATGACTCAAGTCACTCTCAAATGCACAGTTATCTTCCAGGAATATTTTGTCTTTTGGCTAAGAGCTCAATAAGGACAACAGAGTCTGGCCCATCATATTGGGAAAACGAGTATACAGTAAGATTTCAAAGTGGGAAAAAAATCTACCAAGGCCTAAACTGTATAAATACACTGGGACTACCCTCTCTTATTTGTCTGAAGCAAAGCATTAAAAAAAGACTCTGCATTTTCAACTGAGATCTTACTGGTCTTCTGTACTTAGTTTTCCAACTAGTGAGTTAACTCACTAATCAACTGAAATGACCCATTTGTTTAAAAATCATGAATGAAATATCTTTTTTAATAAGAAATCTGGAAATCATAGAATTTCAAAGAAGATAACACTTTAGCAATTCCCTCTATTTCTAAAAAAAATAACTCATCAATTTACAAACAAAATTAAGAGGAGAACTGGAGAGATGAGCTAAATACACATACTAGGTAAAGCAAAGGTTAAAGTTGTTTCTTGTGAATCTAGATGATCCTTTGAAGTGGTAATTGATACTCTCCCCCTCAAGATTCTTAAATAGCGTTCTAGATTAAAGCCTCCCTTATACCTCAAGAAGGCAAAAATGCCCTTATCTATAGAAAACAAAAGTGATCTGTGGGTTGGGTTTTCTTTTCAAATCCCATACTGTAACAAGCACTAGCATCCTCCTCCTAAAAAAAAAAAAAAATAGTGCTTCAAGCACATGGCCAAGCATCACCCTGCTCATACACTAATCTGAAAATAGGTGTTTCTAAAGGAAAGATTAAACAGTGCTGTTCTACATCTCATCCAGCTCTAACCCACAGAACTACTTTTTTTTCCCTCCCTCTCCATACTGTATGAAGGCTTTATCCATCCCACAATTTTCCATCGCTTTGGCTCATTTTAAAAATACCTAGTCTCTTCATGTTTCTCCATTTCAGAGCACCAGAACTGGCTGGTCTTCTTTGAACTTGCAGCATCTCTATCCTACAGCCAAATCCCATTCAAATATTTCAGATCTCCCACATTTTCTCTCTTAAACAGAATGGCTCTTTCAAGTGGTGCTTGGCAGTCAAACTGTACAGCTGAAATATTGTCTTTGTGTGAATATCCCTACCACCCTTTCTTAAAGAACCCCCCCCATCACGGAGCCATGCACCACAGCTATTACTTAGGTGAACTCATGCAGAACCATAATGAGAAAAGGTTTGGTTTGCTAAAGATTCACAACTGTTGATGGACAGAAATTCAACTGATTTTATTAAAAGTGTTATCAAGAAACTAGATATTCTTTTAAAGAAAAAAAGCTGCACTTCAAGACTCAGGCAGTGATCTAAATTTTTAGGCATGTTATACACAGGGAACACATTTCTGCATGGTAACTGAAAACCAGCTTATTCTATGGTAACCATTACGTATATTTTCATGATTCATTCCCTAAGACTAGCTACCAAAAAAAAAAAAAATTAAAAATTCTTTGAATAGTCATGGGACAGCTTCTAAACAAGCAACTTTTCAAGAAAATTAGTCAAACCATTCTAGCGAAAGTTTCACTAACTACTGGGATAAGCTTTCAGTAAATAACTAACATAGCTAAAACTGATGAACTCAGAAAATTACCACCACACTGCACAGTTCTCCACTGACTGCTGGCAACACTAACAGCATAATCAAAGGATAGTGAAACCACAAGCCATACTCCAGGTTACAAGCAGACATCCACACGAGGACTTGAGCAGAAAAAAATATAATGCCATTAGACTAACTTTCATCAAAACAAGCCTTGTCATAACCTTTTTACAGTGACTATCCAATCACTCAAAACAAAAGGGTACAAAAATCTTAGAATACCTTCAGGTTGTTCAGTCACCTGAGAGCCTGAACATGAATAAAAGACTACCAAAATGCTCAAAGGCATTTGACGCTTTCAATGTCAAGTAAAACAGGTGAAGATGTAAGAACACTGGTCTGTCAAATTTCACACACTCCTTACAGAAGCCTTCATTTCATAGTTTAAGGGCTACTGAAATAGTCTAGCTTATGAAGGCGTAAAATACACCTACAACCTCATCGTGGTCCTGTACTTAATGATCATTAAGTGCATTAACAACTAATTTGATCATGTAAAAATGAGAAGGCATGCTGCAAGGGCAATACTCTAGGCACTGACATTCAAAATCTTAAATCAGCTTTTGCCACAACCTCTTCTATTTGCTCATTCTAATGCTTGGCAAAATGGTTTTCAAAATGTACATAAAAATGGCAATGAGGATAATGGGGACAAATAATCCTCACAAACATTCTGGGTTTTTTTAATAACTAGTGCATATCCTGTAAGTCAACATGGTAATAGCTATGCCCATTGAATCTGCAAAACACTTGACATTCAAGTGAGTCTGGTTCTCCTTTCCTGTTAGACACCACTACCTTTCCTAACACTTCAGTCTTATTCCTGTGGTCATGAAGACCAAAATTAATCCCTGTTGCAGTTTGTCGAAGTGATATGAGGACGCCCCACGAGTTTAAAAGCACGTTTGCCGTGTTTCAGAAATCCCTTCAAAACACTATAGGAATGACATACACATTCATATACAAAGATACCACAAGATCCCAGAACATCACTTGCCATTAGATTGCTTGCCTCCGCAAACAAAGTATCTTCTCAGTACATTTAACATTTTGGACATCGGAAACTAGCAGCAAAGCGAATCTTACCTTCTTGAACCACACTGGCACTTCCCGGTTCATCCACAGGATCAGACAGTGAGGGCCACTAAGCAGTCTTGCATCACCTTAATCTGACAGCAATGGCCACACGGAGATTTGGTATTAAGTTGAGAATCCATTTTGCTAACGGGTTTTCCCAAATATTTGCTATTTGCAGAGGACTCAAGATTCCACTCAGAGTTTATTAATGGACCTTCCTCTAAAGTATCATACCACCAGTGTCACATCAAATCTAGTTCATTTTCTCTAGTCCTTTCTCCTCCAGCAAATATTTTCTCTGCAAACCTCTCCTTTGGCTGCTTTATTCTTATTTCTAGGAACCCAGTCTGAGATATGTTCATCACTGTTCCTCCAGCAATTTCAATTCCTTTCCACTGCTCCATTTCCTCACCCAGTCAATCCCTGGTTTCCCTCAAGCACTGATGCTCATTTGCCCTTCCATAGCTCCCCTGAATTCCCCAGTACCACCTTAGTGGGGTTGTGCTTATAAGCATTATGTGTCACACTGTATCTTTCTCCAAGCTATCGGGGTTGTCACACCAGAAATTACTGAAAATACAAGTTTTCTTTCTCTGCAGACCAGTATTTATACTTACGACAAGGAAAGCTAAAAGCAGCAGTGAAGAATAATATAAAAATACATATTCAACACAAGGTGGAATCTTCCAGAAGTTAGCTGTCAATATCTAACAATTCTCCCATAATATCAGCACAAAACTTAGCAACCCCATCCGATAAGGTTCTTCTACAGATTTAACAAAAAAGCTCTCCAACACCCAACTATCACTTCTCCAGTATACTAGGAGACTTTGCTTCAAATCACAGGCATTCAATAGCTTCGCACGTAAGTGATTATGAATTTTTAACATGAGAGCACAGTATTTTCCTTCTACCCTTATTTTCCAACAGAGGCAAGGGTTTGTGGAAGCCTTCACAGTCAGTCTTTCCTCAAGGAGAGTTCTGAACCTGAGCAGTTACAACCAAGCAGCGGTCAACTTTCAGAAGACCTGACAGTTAACACCAACAAAACGATGGTGGATACACAATGAACCACAGTGGAAAGGCAGCTTCAGATTTCCATATTCTAAAATGCAGACTGGGTCAGGCCAAAAAATAAGGAAATGCTGCAATAAGCACCAGCAAGACAAAGCACGAGAACTATTTCCAAAACTTTTGGAAAGATACCAATAAATACCACCTCCTCTCCAAAGCTTTACCGGACTACACTAGCCACAACAGCAAAAACAAATGTTTGCCTAGAACAGATATAAACAAATCAAACCACCAAATGCCTCGATCTAATCCTGAAACATAAACATTGTCCCCCTTCCCAAGCCCCACCTGTTACTTCTTACCGCTCTTTAACAAAACAAAACAAAAACACCACCACCAAAAACAACCAAATATTCAGAGGTTGTTTCATTGTTAAGAACATTAAACAAGCACTTTACTCTTCATGCATATGTATTTTGCTTAGGTATTAGAGAGATTTGTTGCAGTAACACAAATTTACTTGAGTTCAGAATGGTTGTCTTTATAAGACAATCCTAGTTCTCTCTGTTTTCAAGGAAATACTGAAGTTTTAAGTATTCTTGGAATTCAGAGTATATTTTGTTCGTGAGTCATCTTATATTCCAGGCGTCAAGCGGCTAAATATCTTACTACTTTGCCTCCACCAAAGTCCCCTCCAGAATAACTTGTATAAACATAGTTAAGCTCACATTTCAAGTTACTGTGAATACTCAGTTCCCACAAGTTTTATGGTATAATTATCAAATTCTTATAGAAGGCTGCACTTAACATTTGCAGTGTTATTCTAGAAACTATGTAGTTTTTCTGTTTGAGTAAGCAAGTATGTTCTACTTCTTGTAGCTGTTTTATATATAAAAAAATATTCTTTGGAGTTAATATTTGTGGACCCTTATAGGAGCACTAGGGCATCAAAATAAAAACTCAATACAGTAAGTTTGCTAAGTATTTGTGAAACGGAGTTCCATGACATACAAGAAACTCTGTACAGAGTTGACGGGCCTGCGTTACCAGTCCAAAGCAAACCCAGAAATTTAAGTGCTCAATAGCTCTAATTCAAAAGTATATATTATATTGTGCTGCTCCTCAAGGGATTTCTGCACTTTCCAGCTAATGTTACATCCAAACATACAGGTATCATGAAAATTCCATCCTTTGAAAATAGGAAGTTTAAGATTAGGGGCCAACGTCGGCCAGACAATTCCACGAAGAAGCCTTTTCGGTACTTAGGAAAACTTGCCTCAGTTTTCCAAAGAGGAAAGTTATGCTTTCTCGGGCACTATCTTGCAAGCACTACTGCTCTTTTCTTTGCCTTTGCTGTCAATAAGCAAACAACTAAACAGAAATAATTCCAGGTCAGTAGGAGAGAATTTCATAAAGCTCTTCTTATATTGAATAGACCAAGGAACAACATGCCAAGTTCTATCATGTTGATCTCGTGAGGGGGGTTTCAAATTAACAAATATTATCTCAAAGTACCATTAATAGTTACTATAAATTCAAATAATTTTGACCAAATATATCGATGTTTAACTGTATAAAACAACATGCAAAGGAACATCTTCAAGCTTTCCTTTCCCAAATCCAGTGACAAGACAACCTTGAATAAAACTTGCCATACTAGCACTTTCATTTAATATAAGGCAAGGTTTATAGGGAGAGAGAATATCTTACAAGACATAGCTGGAACAAACAGACAAGCTCTTCAATCCTGTCGTCAGCTCTGAAACAGAAGCAGCAAATTCCAACCCAAGCTCAGGCCAGGAACAATTTTTTTGAGCTTAACTTGATTAAAATGTCAAAGTGCTTAATTTTTAAGAGAAAAGGATGGTTGGTCCTGTGGAGCAAAAGGGGAGGTAAGCAAGAGGAGATAAAAGTTACCTATCAACAGGTGGTAACCAGCCCTCCCCACGAAAACTTAGATAGCTGGACTGAATCATATGGAAAACTGAAGTTCCATTAAAAAACAGTAATTACTGAGTCTGATTTCTGATATTCAAAAGAAATCAGAAATTTCAACTCCTAGGTTCCTCCTTTTAGGGTATTTCTTACAGGTCCTCTTAGAATCACCACTACCATCAATTACAATTCAGCATGTTAAGGTACTGCCAAATGGAAAATATAAGCATAAAAGAGATAACAGCTTCAGCATTTTTAATGTATAGATTAATTCAGGTCTAACTCACTTGCTTATACGCCACACATAGATCTTCAACATTATCAGAAGCGAAGTGCACTAAAATTTTCAGTGTAAAAGCTCAATCAAACCTGTAGTGACAATATGCTAAATTGTTTTCATTATATACTTAAGCCCAGGAATATGAGCTATACAGATTGAGAAGAGCTTACATTGATATTTTCTAATTGCAGTAGATGTACTGTGTAATAGGATTTGACGTCCTCAGATACTAGCCTCACACGGAAACCTGTTTCACTGAATGTCATAACCTCCTCTTCTTTTGTTGGCCAGTATTGTGCACACTTCACCTGAATTATTAAAAAAAAAAAAAGGAAGAAATAAAAAAAGAAAAATCTGGTTAAGTATCCTAGTATCTTGGGCTTTGTAAGAGCAGATTCTGAGACCCCATTATTCAATACAGTAGACTCAAGCACCTCCTCCCCATTTGAGGAATTCTCAAAGTCCATAATGTTTAAAGCCAAGTTACTACAACTGTTTCAACTGCTATTATGCATTCCAGCTTTATCTGTTTATGCTTTCATCGCAGGGCTAGCATGTTTTGAGATACACCTTAATCATTCTCCCTCTCCCCCCTCTAGTTCTCTACAGTGAGCAGAGATCTGTACTCAGCTATTTCAACAACGTTTCCCTCCCCTCCATTTCTGACATGCACACCTGCACATTTACATAACCGATGTAACACATCCAGTTTTCCCAAGGCTTGCTGAATACTGGAAGATTCTAGTGAAATGAAAGAATAAACTAACAAAGCAATGCAAAACTGTCCCTTGTCCTTTATTCCTCTTGCCCTGCACTCAAACCTTCTGCAGGAAAATTTTTGCGTAAGAAAATAAGTGACTTTTTAATGGACTAGTCAAATCTTTTTCACTAACAAATCTACTCTGAAGAAAAAACAAACCTCAAATGACATGCATGGATAACTAAAATCCACAGTGGTTTTAGGCACATTAGCAGAAAAACTACATCGTAACAAAAGATTCGTGTATTCTGCACATATACCACCAGCTGTAAAGAATCAAAAGTAACTGGACCAGTTTGACAGTTGCTGGGCAGCAGCTTGTCTTCATTGTTACAAACAGTTAAGATCACTAGATAACAAATATACTACCCTGTTAGATTTAGAAGAAATAATCTAAAGATACTGTATTTCAAACGTGTCGTCCCACATTCCATTTTGTTTTAAAGCATCTTACACTGCTCCTACTCCATCTTATTTCCATCTGTACATCCTCCTTTCTCAGGATGTTACTTCCACCCTTCTGGATGTATATTTATTAGATGCTGTTTTCACCAAACTGGAATTTGTGTCTTAGCTCCATCACTTTACTGTTATATTAAATACATGTTATGCTGTACACCAGTGAGTAAGTCTGTTAGTTGTTTTAACATACCAATCAAACATTGTTCAACTGTATTAAAATTATGTGGCTTACTTAACAACTTTAGGCCTAATATTACTTACCGATTCTTTTTCAACAATTCTGTTCAGCATGACAACCGCTTTGGTTTGTTGTTGCCACACCATTAGCCAAAAATGACAACATGTATTAGGTAGTGGACCCTGTGCAGTAAAGAAAAAAAAAATGGGTGGGAAAATGTACAGGCAAAGCAGTGTTTGAACACAGTTAATGGATTGCTGCATGAAACAGGAAAAAGTCTTCCTCTGAAAAGTCTAAACAAATTACTAATAGAATGATAGAAATGACAGGCAAGAAAGTAACCACACTGCACAGATCATTCCAGTACTTAGAAGTCTTAAAAAAAAACAAAACAAAAACACAAAAATAAAACAACAAAACAGTAAGAACTCAGGGAAGGGATGTTTCAGTTCACGCATCAATACTATTGTGCCATTAGAAGAAAAGCTACTGCAGGCATGCTCAGAAGGTACAAGATGTGAAATAAGGGGAGAAAATATTGTTGCAACCTATTTCCAAAAGAACTGAAGAGCACGAAATATTTCAAAAGTTTTATATGCAATAAACTTTTCATACTTAAATATTCCCTTTAGCTTTTTCTTAAAATATAAAATAACGTGTTCACGACTAGGTCAAACAGGCAGTTAGTATGAGATATTTATAACTCACAGAGACAAGGAACCATCCAAATACAAATTACGACTGTACAAATGCCCTTCCCTCAGATTCTCAATTCCTATAACCACCTAGTAATTGGTACTACTTACCTGTGTTAAAATATAGTATCTCTGAGCTTCTTCTATGACCACTAGGCTGGCATTGATATAGTCATTCTCGGTGTTCTGCAGTTTTACACGACTATGATCATCTGAAATTCAAAGAAAATTAAGAATTTATGATGCATCCATCTTGATGAATACTCTCTAACAGGCAAGTTTAGGTCTGACAAGCAATTAGAAATATATTCTGCAGTTCTAACCAAATGGCAAACTACAAATATGCATGAAACTGACTTCTCATGTACCTTTGATAACTGCCTGTCTCATTCTCCCCTCAGCATTCCATCAGAGTAATTTCAGGCAGCTGTTAATAGAACCTGCTCAGAAAACTGGAATACCCAGTTTTCTTTAAAAAGCAACCAAACAAAACAACCCTTCCTCGCATACCAAAAGATGCTCACAGCCATCCCTCAACAGTTGCATTTCCTTAATACAACAGCACCACAACCCACACCAGGTAGCACTATGTCCTGTCGCACCAGATCACTCTGCTGCATGGTTTCCTTTAAGTTCAGAATTCCACGATTTTTGGTGAACTGAAGTTTCATAGGTTGAGGTAGAATCATAAAGTTAAACTCACACAGCTTAAAAAAAAAAAAAACCAACCAACCCAAACCCCCCAAAACCTTGCAATAATTCAAACCAAGCTTTGATCAATTTAATTTTCCCCGTAATTTATTGTTTAATACTATAAAAATTAAAAATACTGAAGAAGGGGCACATGCAAAAATGTACCTAATCTAATCACAGTTTCAGTCTCTCACGATCACACAGAAGATTTCTCTATTTATGGCAGAGGAAAGCAAAGGACTCCATTTAAAATTCTAACTTAATATGAGAAAGATTATCAGACTGTCATACTAAAACACTGCATAATAAAAAGTCATTGTGGCTGTTCCTAGAACCTTTTAGTATCTGATTTATCACCCTCTAGGAGACATTTACGTAATCAGACTTGTTCACAGCAAGTAATCCTTCAGCCATTTATTAGAACTGTATTAAATAAACAGCATTTTTAGTTTAAAATTTGTACATAACTGCCTGCCAGGAAACAAGATCCAATTGACTGCAAAACTCCTGATGCTCAACTGCCTACACAGACTGTTTATGAGAAGAGTAAATAAAAAAAACAGCAAACTAAAATGAATTTAAGAGACTTCAATGCATTTCAGGAAGAGACAGAAGAGATTCCATAAAGAAGCTGACAGAGTTGAGAGTGAATTACAGTGCAATGACAGTTTTTAACTTATGTTCACCTGGTCTAACCCACAGAACTCATTCAGGGCGCAGACTGGTGGCACAGATGCCGTTAAAATGTCAGCCCACTTTTCACCAAAAGGCTAACCTCCTTTTGATAAACATCTTGGGAAATGCACAAAATCCATGAGTTTTGACATGAGTAACTACCAAGTATCACATTCAGTGCAGCTATAACAGGTGAACTCAGATTAAGTCCCTATATCACAGCCAGTCTATACAACCCAAGGCTTATCTAAGAAATCCATGAATATGACCCCAGATAGGCAAAAAGCTGATGGGAATCAAAAAACAGTTACTAAATTAGACTCTTGTTCTATAGACCGCTCATATGATTTTATAAATACTTTCTGTATGTTTGGAAACCTGGGAAAAGTACATTTACTAGGTCTTGATCCGCTTTTATACTCTTCCTCATCTATCTGCTATTGGCAACTGTCAAAGATGATCTTGCTGGATTCCAGAAGTCAACAGTAAATTACTATTTTTTTTTGAAGGACTGAGATTTGAGGTTGTCATCCTACCTCCTTTAGCTGCTAGCTTTTATATGCAGTCCCATACAAACGTGCAGAGAACAGAAATATGCTCAAAACGTATTTTTAATACAAAAGTATGAGAAAGTTACTGGTTTAGTCCGTTTTCATTAGCATTCCAGCTGTAAGGCAACACCGTCTTGACTTTCAGGAATCTTAAAACAATTTATGATACATCTCTATGAAGAAAATAATTTTATCAAAGCCAAGACACAGTAAAATTAAGACACATGTGCGTTTAAAAGTAAAATATGTCTCCTTGTATTATTTTGCCTGGATAGGAAAGCGTTACTTTTTCCTTTCATGTATCACTTTATCTGAAATGTTTCTACTGGAGAGAAACCAAGACCTTTGTAAATATTACATGTCATTTGCCAACAGGAAAAACTTAAGATCTTGTTATAGTAAATCACACATACCGGTACTAGTGTTCTCGGAAAGATGACGTAAGCAAGCACTGTTAACAGTTTAATCACCCAGCAGCAGCTGCTGTATTGCTGCCAGTAGGAGACAACTGCCGAGGCCGTAATGAGGTTTCCTACTGTAATCTTTAAACACATTGCCAGGCTTATTTTTTCCTTCTTATAGATAATGCTTTGGAAACATGCCAAATAAAATTCTGAAAGTTTTTTTAAAAGCCCCTTTAACAACTCATTCTATGGACAGACGGCCTGCCTCCCTCCTCCTCCCCAACTGAAACAGAGGCTGTTCTACAAATACACTGGCATACACTCCACAGGACAAAGCAAGCCACTAGAATATATTGATTTCCCTTCTTTCAAGGGAAAAGGTTCCTAAAGGACACAATGACCTAGAAACCTCATTCAAGCCCTGGCTTGCTCTTCTGAATTAAATGAAGCAAGCCAACTTTTGACAGTGAGTTAGCTGTAACATATTTCCCATATGTAAATCATTTCCAGTTACAAAGTACTTTAGATTTATATGAATGATAAACCTATCTTAAATCTTATCTTAAAGATTTATCTTAAACGTTGCCATGCCCACAACAGGGAAAAATATAGTACTCATTTTCTGAAGTGCTAATTCCCCTATTTCAACAAACCATGCAGCCTGAAAAGGAAGTGGAAACCTTAAAAATGCTTCTCATTCTGGCTCCTGCAGTAGGAAAACTACTCCCAGAACGACCCTGTCTGAGATAAGCAAACTCTTATTACCCACTTCGAGTGAAACCCTGTCCCACCGATATCACTGACAACACTCCCCGTGTCTCAAATAAGGCCAAGACTTCACATTACACACCAATTTGCCCACTCCCTGCTAAAAAGAAGATGACATATCCAGTTAAAACCAAGATATGAAATGTTTGGCATTTTACATCATACGGTTCTTGCAGCTGTTTAATGACATGTTTTCATTTGAAAACAACTGTGTTTCTAGAAGTGAAACCACTGTATAACTTAATTATCTTTTATCCAAGAGATGTCTCTGGCTCCCCAAATACAGAGCTATTAACGAGGGAGGGTGAAATGCTACTTAGTGGATTAAAGTCATAAATAAAACATGTAGCCATAAGCCATCCCAGTGACCCGGTCTGACCCCTTCCTGCCTACCAGCAAATCCTCTTCATTTCACTCACCTAAATCTAGTCTATCTGAGCTGCTAAATTATTCAAATTACAACACTGTCACTAGACTTACAGCCTCAAGTTTCAGAGGTAGCCTAAGGCAAAGGAAAGGCAAAGTGACTTTTCCCTACCCTGTCACTGGTTGTACGCAACGAATGCCATCATATCAATCGTGGCCTAGCTCATAACTGAAATGTATTCATACTGAAATATATGCATAACTGCTGCATAGGATCCTTACACTTTTAGACAGGACCGTGAAAAAACAACTTAAGATACAATAAAGTTTAGATCAGTATGTGCTATAAAACTCCCCTCTTCCCCCACCCCAAAGAAAGAACTATCTCCAAAAGCAGCATGTCGAGTTTATTTACACCATGGTTCTGGTAACAAGACGTTTTAGAGAATCATTAGATAACGTCATAAAAATCATCAATGTCAGCTTCTAACACGGACAACAAGAAGTGCAGAAGGCTTATTTTGGACAGATCATCTCCTTGTTCTCAGCACGTACACTCAAAACACAGGACAGAAAGGGAACATTTTTGTAATCGTTATTAATCAGCACTATGTGTGAAACCATCCACATCAGCTCCAACTCTGTTCCCTGTAAAGCACAATACTCTTCACGTTCCTCTCCCCCTGGTATATACTTTATGACAACTGTAAACCTACGGTTGAACGGTCCAAAACGGTGTCTACTAATGGCCACAGGAAGAAAACAAGAGGAATCACTACCTCTCAAGACCCTCCAACAGTAACACAATCCACCATTCAAAAATGTTCAGATGACCTAAGAAACTGGGCTACACACATTACAAAGGAAGGCTAAAGATACAATTGTGTAAACCTACCCTCCAAAAGCAAAAAAAAAAAAAAAAAAAAAAAAAAAGTCCTGCCAATTTTGCTGAGGGGATTTCCTTTTTGCCTCTAAATCTGGGAACACAGCAAGCAGATGTCTAAAGGTGTTTACAGTCAATCTGAGACACTAGACTCCTCTGATATGAACTAAGGATAAGATTTAGAAGGAAAGTAATAACAGAAATCTTAAGGTTTCATTAAAGTTATCAATAAAGAATAATAACCTCACAAGTTATTTTCCTCTTAACAATGTTTTCTGAGAAATGGTTTCATCTGTCAGGAAATGACTGGCTGTCAAACCAAACCTATTTCATATTAACTTCCTGTTTCAATACTACTACATAGCCAAAATATTCTCCCTATTCTACACTAATACCAAACTGCTAGACTGCTGGGTTTTTTTGGCTAAGCAGTAACTCTTGAGGGCTTTTATCCAACCAAACTTATACACACCATAGCTCTTTAGCCAAGAAAATTAGACACTAACAAAGATATTTATGAAACTGGAGACAACACGAAACTCGGCTGTAATGGGCAAAGAGGACTGGCCTTTCCCAGCTCACAGAAATCAACTTTTACCTGGAAATGTATGTAACAGACACAAATTGGTTTCAGCGTGCGAGTGCTGCATATTATGGTGGAAATGGGGCAAACTAACCCAAAGCATTTTTTCTTGCACTTGTAATTGACATCTTTTCTGTAAGACAGAATAATCTTTGCATTTCCCCTTGCAGACATACCTCCTCAGATTTTAGACTGGCTTGGCCGCTATTTAGATTACCAAACCATTTTCTCACTGCTATGGAGAAATAAACCATTTTCATCAAGTTATGTCTTATGTCTTACAATATGTTTGAATAGCTAGATCTTCAGAGTTTAACTGCTAGTTCTGAAGGCCTTTGACTATCGCAGAATATTAGTATTATCACCCATTTTTCATTTAAACACTGGTCAAGAGCAGTAAAATTTGCAAAGTGAAGGAGCAAGATGTTAGGATTGTGTAAGACTGAGTCATCTTGCATTTCTGCAATGCCAGCTCCTTGCCTACATGCGCCATGATTAGACGTGTTCACCACAGCAACCAAACCGCACAGCTATTATCCCAGCTGCTTTGAAATTTACGTACTGCTATCTTGCAATGTTATTTATCATATATTCCCTTCCAGTTCTCTTTCTCCTCCCAGCCCTCATCATTGTTACAGAAACAATTGAGAGTCATATCTGAAAACACACAGATGTAAAATTCAACAGGAATTAGTTCAAACACAGTGTTTTGCTTTGTTCTCCTCATACGGCCTTGCTCCTAGTGCCCAGTTCTGCAAGCTATCTTGGTGGCTCAATTCAAACCTCCTTTCTTTCACAAATGCTAAAAAAAGAGACACGCTTCATAAAGTTCATCACCTTAGTTCAGTCAGTATGTTATAATTCATGTCAACTAGCATGTAATGACTCTAACCCCTTCCCAAGCCCAACTACTACTTCAAGACTAGATTTTATCTAACTTTCTCTCTCTGCTCTTGCACAGGGTCCAGGGATTAATACAATCACATAATTGATTTCCTTCTGGCTAAATGAGCATTTCAGCAGCAAGCTGTGCCATGATCAGAGCAGAGGTGTTTGGTACTCTTCACTACTGTAAAAGACATGCCATGATTAAGGCAAATTTTGAGCTCCAAAAAACTACAGGAGATGAATGCAAGTCACACCTCTAAGATACTATTGCAGGCATTACTAGATGCTACTTAAATAACACAATGTCTTTTTATTTATTTATTTTAGAAACACTTTTTTTGAAAAGAAAGAAAAAACACAAATACGGTGAAGGTAAGCTGCCATTCTCTTTGCAGTAGTGCCTAAGAAATGAAATCTGTGGATGGGAGAAATGGTAAATGCATGAATACAACTTCTGCCACAGAAGTTGTGCGGGATATTGGACCCAGGACTAGGACTTGGGTCTCATGGGTTCAAATCCAAGTTCCTCTTCTTACAAACCCCATCCCAATTTAGGTATGAAACAGAAAGTGAATAAAACGTGATCTACTTTACCACAGGTAAGATGCTAATGCTGTGCTGTAACAGGACAGCAGACCTGGGACACATTAGTACCTCTGCGTAGATGAACAAAGGTCCAGCAGAGGCCTATCTCCCTTTGCGGAGCATACAGCGGAAGTTAGTAAGCCTTGACTAACTGGCGGTATCTTCTTCAGAGCTGTACTTTTCTCAAATAGACCATACTGGGGAATGCCATGCAGACGCAGCAAAGAGGCCGTGCACTGAACTCAAGTTCAGTTTCATCAGAGTGCAGTATTGAGATTCAGCATTAAACCAGACGGGATCCATTCGGTGTGAACACACTGTGGAAGTTACCACTCCAGCAGCAGCCTAACGAGCAGCACACGGCGCTGCATCTGACCAGCATGACTCAATCCGAGACCCTTTCTGCGTAATTTTGAGAAGTGCTATGCACATGCTGTTACCACAACTTTCAACTGGAAACAAGGAGTTCAGCACTTCTCCAAATCTTACAATAGGTATTCAGATTAGGCTCTCAAACAAAAAGCCCCAATACACCAGCAGCCCTTCAAAAATTCTAGATCCAGTAACAAGAAGGCTTTTATGGGCCTTTGGTGCTCTCAGAAACTTCATACTAAAGAACACGCAAACATTTAACCTGTTCCAACTTCAATATTTTGTAGAAAAATTAAGGCTGTACTAAATTTTTTTCCTAGTCCTTTTGAAAGTTATTTATGATAGCTTTCTCCACCTCTAACTACGTATTGGTATCTTTTGCTTACATGTCTTTTTACAATGATTTTGGATTACAGTTTCTAAAGTAAATGCTGTTGAAAAAGGTCCACAACATTTTAGTAGCAAAGAAGCTGGTAAAAAAACAAACAAACAAAACCCGCTTGTCTTCACCTGAGATGTAAGATCATCACGTCCCAAAGACCACTTTATGGAAGTTAGTAAAATACAAAGCACTCCATACCATATCTACTTCCATTGAGAAAATTAAAGAATAACTTCAGGCATACATTCTTCCAAACAGACAAAAGTAACAAAATCTCAAGTATTTTTTAAAGCAACAGTAGAAATCGAGTGGCATTTATCCACACAATCTTATAAATGTGCCAAATCACTTAGCCCAAAAGGAAACTGTGTTAGTCAAGGCTTATTAACTTAATTTCTGTGCTCAGATGTTGATTTTTTATGATAGATAAAGCAATATTAAACAAATAAATTTCCTTATGAGAAAAATATCTTTAAAATATTACTTTGCAGCTCAAACATTTCCCTGTATACTAATAACTATAATTTGCAATTATCTCTCATTCACCATTCAGCACAATGAGCTTAACCTGCAAACTCTTCTCCCTTCTCGTATACACATTTGTGTATGTGTTAGGAAAAACACATTAATCATAGGATACATGCCTACAGAAATAAACAAAATACATAATCTACAATGACCATGACTTATTATGTAGAGTATTTAAAAGTAAACCAGGTAAGTAAAAAGTCTAGAAAGTTTACTGCAATAATTACAGAAAAGATACTTACACGGACTAACATCTCTGTATCTGTTTCGATTTCTGTTTTCTGGATATTTTGCAACTCTATGAGGGTAGTCACTAGATTTATGTCGAATTTCCTTGAAAAGACAAAAAACTCAATTTACTTATAGCCAGTAAACTGATTAAGGTCACTGTTCTACACATCCTGTTGTAAGACTTTCAAGCTTATTCATTAATCAAGGTTATTAATAATTAACATTTTTAAAAGAACCTTTACTACACCTAGTGTTATTTTCACTCAGAAAACGTGTGTGTCATTCTTGGCCAAGCTGTTGCCATTTAGATCTTCCCATACTTGGCTACCCCCACCAAACTAACATGAGGACAATTTGGTAAGCAACTGATGTAGTAGGAACAACGGGGAAAAAAACCCCAGATATTTATTATGCTTACAGTTTACCTCAGACTTGCATGTTATCTCCCACCGTAATAAGAGTCTCAGACAGACAGACATAACAGCAGTATACTGTTGCTTTACACCAACCAGCAGCATAAATCCCCACAAAGGTAACTGAACTAGTTAATGATTTTATGGCTGCTGTTAACAGCCACAAGGTTATTCTTGGTGGTTTGATGGTTCAACCCATATAGCTGTAGTAGTTAAATATGATCCAATATGAAGCAACAACTCTAGACTCACAAATATCAATGTGAAATCACAGCCTGCTTCTCCCCAGGCGTTAATACAAACCTTTCAATAATCTCCATTTGGAAGACATTCAAACATACTCATTTATGCACTATTTTAAGGAGCACACTGTTCACATATTCTGAATGTTCGGTTTTATTCATTTTTTGCCTCTGAGTGTATCTTTTCCACAACTTCACTTACATATACAGATTTACCTTATGGAGGTAACTGAAAACACAGCTAAAGTGCTATTGACGAGCAACCTCCAATGGACTGAACTATCCCTCGGTATCTCTGTACTGATGCCATCTCAGCAGACATGCTGTACGATATGGAACTCACAATATTTCATTTTGAATTCTCCTTTTGTTTTTAGATGCTGCTGCTACTTGTGATCATTATGTCCCAAAGAGCGTTTAAACTTCTCTTTACAACTACGCATTCTTTGGTCTTCTCTGTTTCCACTATCATCTTTGTCTTCTCAAACTTCTTAAGTAATCTATCTATTCCCAGACAATGAAGACAGCAAAAAGGACTTCAGTGGAAATCTAACATACGTAAGGAAGCTCCATTTTTTACCATCTGGTGCGTGACATTACTCAAGTGCAGTGCCAGCCTGTAAAGAACCTAAATCACAATGTGCAGCAGCAACTGTCAAGCACGAATGCTCTACATATTTGTATAAACATCTCTTGCTCTATTAGACAATGAGGTTTTTTTTATTTTGATACAGCACACTGGAACTTGTCTTCTCCTCTAGTTTACATGGCTTACAAGCTTTGGAGCAACCACATGCACGTTGAATAAATGCATCTGGCAGGCACTCACAACCAAGTTCCCATAAAACGTAAATTTTGTATTACTCCATAACAGGATGCAACACATATTGTTTTTAAAAGCACTGGCATCCTCTGTGCTCAGAAACAGACCTGTAATTTGGTCAAGAAACATTACACCAGCTAGAAACACTAGTACGGTGATGGGGCGCAGGGGGGCTTGCTGAAAAGAATTAAACCTAACAAACTTTAATGACTAGTTCTAAAATCAGTTTTCCCACATACAATTCAGCCATCACAAACTGGAGAAACGAATCAGATGCCAGATGTAGCGTAAGGCATACTACACAAGAAAAACTTGCACTGGAAAAAATAAAAAGTGAAAACCAGTATTATTTATTCAGTCATTAATTCAGATTGCATAGGAGCTCCAGGAGTCAGCATAAATATTCCAAACTTCATAGAATTTTACCACAAGTCTTGGCAAATTCATGGAACTGAAGGGCAAATACACAAAACTGGTCTCAGCAAGAAAAATAAAAAAACCCTAATACCCAACTTTTTTTTCTTCAAAGAAACTTACCCTTCTCAGGGCAAGTATGTAGGTTTCTTATACAACACTATCATAGGAAAATACCTTCCTAAACAAAAACCCAGTGCGAAAACAAGTAGTCAGGAATTAAAGTATTTTCTACAAGTTTGTGCTATTTAAAAATATCATTGACTATTTTCTGTTTATGTTTTTAAGCAGATGTGTATTCTCTGGTTTTATCATTCAACAAATGCATTAAGTATCCTGAAAAAAATCCTGAGTTTGCAAAATCTACAAAATCAGGGAAACATAAAATTCCAAAGTGTAAAATTCAAAAACTTTATTAAAAAAATATTTTACAGCATAGCTGTAGTAAAAGTAGAAAATCCATACACAAAGTTTAGCAGAGATTAACATACAATTTTCTCTGCAGTTTACTTCTCCAAGTGCAACTAAATAATATTAAAATGACTTGGGAAAGCTAACTTGTTCAGCCTGGATATACCAGATGTAACGTGTGTGTATGCTTTTCTACTTCACGAAAAATACTGGTTGCAAAATTCTTCCCTTAGACTTTTATGTCATTAACTTAGCACAGTTTATTGCTGCTATTCCCTGTTAAAGTCAAACCACGTTTGAGTTCCAGAGTACACGTCTAGAGATAATGTATTTGAAACACATGTAAATCAAATACGCTGCTAATTTAGGGAAGAAAAAGCACAACTTAGAGCTCGTTAAAGAGAACTTTCGGTTTGGGTTGTTTTTCTTCATTTGCGAAAGAGCACTGTGAAACACGTACTGGCTCGAGTAACTGCTCTGGCACTGTAACTTCGTGCATAAAGCCTGTTTGATGGAACTGACCCAGAGACTACTGTTGCAAGCTAGCAACCCCGCTGTTTCCAGAGAGGAAGGGCAACTGGCGCCTTTTCTGAGGGAGAACGGCGCGGGCCGCCCGCGGACGCCGGGCAGGTGAAGGCAGCGCTGACAGGCGCTGAGGCGGGCGCCCGAGGAGCC